GGGAGGGGATGATCAGTATTTGGCGGCCCAGTGAGGAGCAGGTGAGGCCTGGGTGAATAGCGCGGCATGGGATGGCATGGGGATTAGCATGCTTTGGCATGGCATGGTTCGCGTGGCATGGCGTGGGGATTTCATGAAAAGGGTATGGCGTGGTATGGCATGGTATGGCGTGGCAATGCACAATGTGCATCGCACCAATGATGGTTGCTCACTCGGTGCTCTCAAGGCGATGAGGACTGTATCCATTGCCATCTGGTGGGCAAGTAAAGTAAACAGAGCAGTGAAGTAAGAAAGGACGTACATCTCACTCAAATTGATGCATGCACGGCATGAAATTTCCTGGACATTTTTTTAGTTCTCTTGGTCTTCTGTGCCCTTTTCCCTTTCCCTCCCCCCCTCTCCCTGCTCTCAGCTCCAGGAGCTAGTTGAGGGAGGGGTGTATCTGGTGGCTGGGCTTCAACCATCTCACTCTCACAAGAAACAAACCCTCTTTTCCCTCTTCTCTTGTTTTCTCCCCGTGCCCCCACTCCCCTCTCCCTTCTCTCAGCTGCAGGAGCTAGTGGAGGGAGGGGTGTATCTGGTGGCGGGGCTTCAGCAGCGTATGCTGACACACAGTCCTGTTTCCTCTTCGTCCCTTGCTCCCTCCCTCCCCTTCCTCTCCCTTCTCTCAGCTGCAGGAGCTGGTGGAGGGAGGGGTGTATCTGGTGGCGGGGCTTCAGCCGTCTGCCACGCGACGCGATGCGATTGGTCCGCTGCTCTCCCTCAACGCCAACCGATCCACCAAGTGGCGCCGACTTGAACCATCCTCCGTTCAAAAGAGCCTCAGGTCAGTCTGTGAGCCTCAGGTCAGTCTGTGAGCCTCAGGTCAGTCTGTGAGCCTCAGGTCAGTCTGTGAGCCTCAGGTCAGTCTGTGAGCCTCAGGTCAGTCTGTGAGCCTCAGGTCAGTCTGTGAGCCTCAGGTCAGTCTGTGAGCCTCAGGTCAGTCTGTGAGCCTCAGGTCAGTCTGTGAGCCTCAGGTCAGTCTGTGAGCCTCAGGTCAGTCTGTGAGCCTCAGGTCAGTCTGTGAGCCTCAGGTCAGTCTGTGAGCCTCAGGTCAGTCTGTGAGCCTCAGGTCAGTCTGTGAGCCTCAGGTCAGTCTGTGAGCCTCAGGTCAGTCTGTGAGCCTCAGGTCAGTCTGTGAGCCTCAGGTCAGTCTGTGAGCCTCAGGTCAGTCTGTGAGCCTCAGGTCAGTCTGTGAGCCTCAGGTCAGTCTGTGAGCCTCAGGTCAGTCTGTGAGCCTCAGGTCAGTCTGTGAGCCTCAGGTCAGTCTGTGAGCCTCAGGTCAGTCTGTGAGCCTCAGGTCAGTCTGTGAGCCTCAGGTCAGTCTGTGAGCCTCAGGTCAGTCTGTGAGCCTCAGGTCAGTCTGTGAGCCTCAGGTCAGTCTGTGAGCCTCAGGTCAGTCTGTGAGCCTCAGGTCAGTCTGTGAGCCTCAGGTCAGTCTGTGAGCCTCAGGTCAGTCTGTGAGCCTCAGGCCAGTCTGTTAGCCTCAGGCCAGTCTGTGAGCCTCAGGTCAGTCTGTGAGCCTCAGGCCAGTCTGTTAGCCTCAGGCCAGTCAGTGAGCCTTAGGCCAGTCAGTTCTGAGTCTTGAGTCATGTATTTCCCCTCTCCACTCTGCGGTCCACCAAGTGGCGCCGGCTTGAACCATCCTCCGTTCAAAAGAGCCTCAGGTCAGTCTGTGAGCCTCACTCAGCTCTTTGAGTCCTGAGTCAATAATTTTTTGTGTCCTCTCTATAGTCTACCATGTCGCGTAAGAGACAGTGGCTGCTGCTGCTGTATCTGCTTCTTATTCCTCTCCCGTTCATCCCTGCACTCCGCACCCAATATCGAGGCTTCTCCTTCCCCCCTCGCCACTGGAGCCCCCTCGCCTCGCTGCCTGCCACTCCACCGGGCAGGGAGGTGGACGTGGTGGCACTGGTGCTGGCCGTGGGTCAGCCGCTTGGTGCTGGGGCGTGGAAGAGTGGGCAGTGGCTGCTGCTGCTGCTGCCGCTGCTGCTGTCTCTGCTGTTGATCAGCCTCTCACTTTTCCTCTCTTGTATTTTCCCAAATTCCCTTCCCCACCTTCCCGCAGTTTCGCCTTCCCCCCTCGGCGCTGGAGCCCCCTTGCCTCGCTGCCTGCCGCTCCCCTGGGTAGGGAGGTGGACGTGGTGGGACTGGTGCTGGCCGTGGGGCAGCCGCGTGCCGTGGGGGCGTGGCAGAAGGGGCAGTGGCTGCTGCTGCTGCTGCTGCTGCTGCTGGTTCTGCTTCTCATAGCATCCCACTGTTCCTCCGCACATCCCCCCCTTTCCCACAATCCCACAGCTTCTCCTTTCCCCCTCGCTGTTGGAGTCCCCTCGCCTCGCTGCCTGCCACTCTTCCAGGCAGGGAGGTGGACGTGGTGGCACTGGTGCTGGCTGTGGGTCAGCCGCGTGCCGTGGGGGCGTGGCAGAAGGGGCAGTGGCTGCTGCTGCTGGATGGTTCGGGGGAGAGAGAGCATTGTGAGAATGGGGAGAATGTGGGGGGAGGAGCGGTGGGGCCGGCAGGAAGTGAAGCTGCAAGATCAGGTGTAACATTTGCAGCAAGAGCACAACCACTTGTGCTACTACCAGGGAAGAGATCAGCATCAGCGTTGGCTGTAGAAAACTCGTCCGCACTGCCGCTACCACCACCACTACCAGCACCACCACCACCACCAACCCCAGGACCAGAAACACCATCAAAATCACCCGCCTCTCCAGCCATACCTGAACCTATGCACCAGGTTCGGGGGAGGCCTGGACTGGTTAACGGAGGGAGGATTGGAGCAGGTGGGAGGGTGGGAGTGAGGGGTGGGATGAGTCTTTGGGGAAGATCTGGCAGAGGCACCGGCGGCAGAAGTGGCAGCGGCAATGGCGGTGGCAGAGGCAGGCAATTGCATTCTGTTAGTGGTCATGCCGGGGGCGTTGGGTTGACAGGAGGGGGAGAGCACGGAGAAGCCATGTCGATTGGGGGAGGAGAAGGATGGGGAGGGCCCAACAGGAGGCTGGCTGATGGATGGCGGCCAGGAGGAGGTGGTGAATCTTCAGTGATAGATCCAACTGCACTGCGAGGGTCAGCAGCATTGGCAGCAGGAGCGCAGGCACGAGCAGGTGGGGGAGCGGATGTATTCCTATGCGCAGTGACGGAGGGGATGCGAAAGCAGAATGGTGGTGCAGCGGTGGCAGGGAGGGGGAATGTTGGGGCTGTAGCGGTGGGCAGGGGGGGAGGTGGGGCAGTGGTGGTAGGAGGCAGGGGGGATGGCGGGGCAGCAGTGGTGGCTGTGCAGGTGCTGGCTGGGGAGAGGGCGTTTGTGCCACTTGATCCGTCTCTCACAGGGACCATTGTGAGTGTGATTGCAGCTGGTATAGTGTGAGTGGTTCTTGAGACGTCCCAAAAAGTTGCCCCTCAATCCGTCTCTCACAGGGTCCATTGTGAGTGTGATTGCCGTTAGAATAGTGTGTGTGCTAAGCGTCTGTTACATATTTGTCTTTTCTGGTTATGTGCTTGTGAAGCCAGTGTGACGCCTTCTCCTTTCTTTTCCCTCTCGCTATCTCTCCATCTATTCTGGATTTTGTCCCTATTGCCCTCCCCTCCTACCACTAATCATGCGTTGCTCTTCCCCTTGCCACTGCTCTCCCTTCCCCCAACCCCACAACCCTGCGCTCTTCCCCTCCCAACCCTGCCCCTCCTTTCCCCTCAACCCCACATTTAAATTTTCTTGATTCGAAGGTATCCTGGCGGAACCTCTTGCTAAGGCCAGGTTGTTTTCACGGAGAGGAGGGGGTTTGGATTGCAGAAGCAGGTGATGCTGCAGAGATGTCGCTCACGCCACACTTCTCCCGAGATCCAGCTGAGAGATTGGCTGCAGATGCCTTGGCGAAATGGAGGAACAAAAACACTCAGGTGTTGTGGTTTGATTGAAGTACTCAAGAGGTGCTCTTGTCTCTCATTATGGTGTGCTTGCTAATCTCTTGATTGTTTGCATTGTGCAGGTTGTAGAAAGCTTGCGCCACAGGATGTGGCCCCTATTATTCAATAGTAATTATGGATAGTCGCATTTAGGAAACTAACGCAAAGTATTGAATGTCTTAAAATTGATTCTGCGTCTGTACGCTTTATTGATACAAGGGGTACCCCGGGGGTCAGGCTTTCCCGCCCACCAGTCTGTCACACACACGTGTACTTGGCAGCCGAGCCGAGCCCATCAGCTGAGCCTTTTGTTGCGGTGTTGCCTGCCAGCCCGTGACAGCCTGAGGATTCTAGGACTGAGTTCAATTCAAGCTCCCCCGAACAGTAGGGAAATATCATAATTGCAGGTTCTGAGAGGCTGAGCGCGGTGAGTAATGTTAATGCAACGGCGGTAGAATGATTACATTTTGGTACGTCGTTGGCGTTTCCTACATCTCCGCCACATCGCAAATGCCATGCCAACTGCGCAACGGTCACTACCATGTCACTGCAAACCGTTATGAATCTCCCATCACCACACAGAACCTATTTTCACGCTTTATGTTCCTTCTGTAACGGGTGTGCATTTGGCATATATTTCACCCGAACCCTACTCAATATTCTAATTTACTATATGAACCGTTACATGTTTCATCGAACCTCACTACATAAACTTACTGTTATGATCTATCCACAGTCCTTGTCCCGCCCCGCAATAGTGCGTAATCACGCGCAGATCCAGAGGGAATCGTTGGAAATACTAAATATTTTTAATGGTTGGTCCTACAGCAGCATTACCTAGCAACAGGTCGTGGAGCTGGCAAGTGCCTGCTAGCTTGCAGTCATGAATCTTATCATGCAACACCAGGCAATAAAATATTTTGCCGTTTGGAAGCCATCTCCGATGTTGCTGGTTCTGGAGCGCTTGCGGTGTTTATTTCTCGAGAACCGTTTCTTGATCCCACTGCTCGAAGAGTACTATTCAAGGACGCCACAGCTGAGATTGTCAGCTGCTAAGTATGGCAGCTGGCGGAGCGCATTACTACGCGCGGAAACGTTTCTGTCACTTCTGTCCTCCCTTCGTCGGCCACATTACCAAAGGAGAGGGTTAGCACAGCCGAACTTCCTTGTACATCATCCTGCAGATCCTATACGTACCTGAACATTTGACGCTACAACTTCAACTTATCAGCATCCATTGCGGTATACCAGCACTATACCAGCATTCTATCATCCCTCTATCGGCGTTCGTTGAACTCCTTGACTAGCTCTATACCAGCCTCACATCTCAGACAGACGGAGACAGTCGGAGAGCGCATTCTCGTCACAATGATGCTTGCTGCAAGCCAGGTCCTGGTGCCGCTGCTGCTGCAAGATTTCGACATTAAGTGAGTTGCTTCAAGCAGTGGTATCAGCATCACTAAATGCGATTCGTGCTTACTAGAGCCACCACCGTCCCTCATTCGCTCCAAAATCCCTCCATGTGATTATTCTGACAATGCTCAAGCAATTGTTTTCTATCATTCTCATCTCCGGTCGTTCCGCCTTTCCCCCTCTTCCCCATCCCCCTCCGCGTACCGCAGCTGGAAGCCGTCGAGTCCGCCGAGCAAGCGCGCGAGGCTGCGCGAGTTCAAGCACTTCATCCCGCACGATGGGCACGAGTGGCTCAAATACGGCCAGAAGGACATCTCAGGCGGCCGCTTCTCACGGTTAGTCCCATTACGTGCTCTCATCGAACTCTTCTTCCTGTTGCTCTTATCTTTTTTACCTTTTGTCATTGTTCGTGCTGAAGCAATGGTGCGGAAGAATGTACTAGTACTCCGCTAGTTCTTGGATCTGCCACCTCTGAGTACGCATTTGTTCTTCTGCTGATCTGTAGTGGAAATGTCGACAACGACGACCACTGACTGATATTTTATTTTTCCCCTTCTTCTTTTCTTTTATTTTCTGTTCTTTACTTTTCTATTGTTTTCTTTTCTTTCCCCGCTATCTTGTTGTTATTGCTCCAGACATTATTTTCGCTGCAGCCACTCCGACAATGGACGCCGCTGCCCTGCGCGCCGAGTGGTGGACGTGCACACGCAGTTCGGCCAGCCTGGCGCCTCTGACATCGCGCCACGTGTCACCTACTCCGGCAAGCACAACCACGCGCAGCCTGCCTCTCGCACCCCCTCCGAGAACGAGTCTTTGTTAGCAAATCCCATATTCCCTACAGAGCGCGCCAAGCCATCAGTCAGTATGTGGGAGCAGCAGGCTATCACAGGTCACATGCTCCCAGCTGCAACTACACAAGTAACGCGTGCACAGCTGCAGCACCTCCCAGGCTCTAAGAAGCAACAGCATGCAACCACACTCGACCTGCCTTTGATTCACAGTGGCTTCGCGAAGGGCGATGGCGAGAGGTGCGACGACTCGTGCCCGCTCACACCCACCACGCCCACCTCGCCGCTGCCGCTCTCCTCATTACTCTCCACGCCGCTGTCCCCGCCGCGGACTCCACAGCTCTCCCAGCCGCCTTCCCCGCGGACTCCTGTTTCTCTCAGGGCGGTCTCATCCTGCAGTTTCATCCTACCATCATCCGGAGCAGCGGAGGAGGCCGAGCGGGAAGCGGGAGAGGTGCAAACGGGCTTGGCTGAAGGGCTTGGCAAACGAAAGCGGTCAATGTTGGTGAACGAGGCTGTGAACGAGGCTGCTGATGCCATGTCACACGCAGACGTCGAAGGGTGTCAAGGAATCCAAGATTCTGAAATCAGCCTGACTTTGAAGAATCAGACGGTTCTGCTGCCAGGAAATGATTCTGATACATTTCAGAAGGCTCTGTCGGAACCTGTGGATCACGGGGTGCTGCTGACAGCTGCAAATTGGGCGAGCGCGAGCAACGTGTTTGACACAACAGATCTGGGCCCGTTACAAGCAGCTCCGATTGAGGCAGCATGTCCAAACGGAGCTCCTGCTGCTCTTTCCAAGTTGGGGTCAGTGACATGGCAGAGTCTGCAGGATTTGGAAGCCCTAGCTCCCCTCTTCCCACCGCCAAGCGCGATGGGACCGTCAGATCTAATCACTGATGAGGTGGTTCGAGATCAACGGTGCTGCGGCTTCGGCTTCTCTCCCTGCACGCTCCCTCCTTTAAAATCGCCAACTTTGACCGCGTCCTCAGCAGGAGCAGGCGGGTTCGTTTCAGCAAAAGACTCATGTGATCGAATATCCTCGGCGTTGGCCAATCACGGTGGAGGAAGAGTTGCTCCTTCAGCTGGCATGGAGGGGTTGGTGATTGCCGAGGATGAGACGGGGGTGATCCAGGTGGTGATGAGTGATGGGATTCAGAGGCGGCAGGAAATGCAAGCAGACGAGATTTGCAGCAATGATCAGGAACGACACGTTCCGGAGCTCTCAGAGGTTCCTTTTTGGGCTGAAAGGGATGCTTCAGTTGGAGGGTTGGAGGGGCGGACTGCGCTCGACGAATGGTTTCGTGAGTTGGGTGCTACCGGTACTAATGGTGCCTGTGGCCGTACTGGCAAGGACGATAGGGGTGCGACTTCCTCAAGAGAGCTTACAGGGCTTGACGTGTTCGGCGGTGAGAGAAGTTTCAGCCCGCTTGTTATCTTGGAAGACTCCTTGGGCATGCTCCAAGTTGGGCATTGTACGAGATGGTGAGGACTTGGGAATACTGGTTTGAGGTTACAAATGCTTCAGATTTGAAGCTAAATAAGCATTATGTGCATTTTCCTAATCAGCTTGAGTGTCATGTAAAAATAGGCCTGTATATAATGTACGTGTGCGAATTGGTCTGGTTATGTTCCTTGATCAAGAGAGTAATGCATGTATACAGGGGAGGGGTATTGTATGATGGAAGTGCTAACTAGATGGGTGGATGTTAACGATTGTTTGTTTGTGGTATGGTTGAAGTGTACCTTTCCAGTCACGAGCAGATAATATTTGCGGTGCCACGTGCCCGTAGCGGAATTGACTGGAGGGGTTTGGGCGGGAGCTGAAACCTGCTGACAGGTCTCTCAGGCCGTCCGATCGAGCTGTCCATTCAGCAGAGCGGCGACGTCCCCCGAGATCGGGCGAGAATGATGGAGTTTGGTCGGTCAGACCGGATAGGATTGGATGAGCTCCTGTCAGGTGAAGTGTCAAGGTTTTCGTGTAAACAACGTTTCATGCCTATCTAACCCTTAAAAATCTTTAACGACCGCTCTGAGACAAACATAACCGTACTCAACCATGTCATAGTGAGCTCATGACATCCATACCTCATTCACCTTTCCCAGTTGCCAACATACCCTTGCGGCTTGCTGACATGCGTCGTCTGTTGCCTCCATGTTGGAATGGAATTTCCTGCTCCCTCTGCCTGTGGCTCAGAAGAGGGCGTTTATTCTTCCTGCTTTTCATTGTTCTTGCCGAGTTGTTATTAAAAGCTTGAGAGCATCGCGCAACGTGTCGCTCTCGCGTATTGAGCCGCGTGTTCCTACTGCAGTGTAACCTAGCGATCCCAAAGTTTCGCAGCAGGGTATTCACATTTCGGCTTAACTTAGATCAAAATGCCGTCAAAGAAGAACAAGAAGAACAAGAACAAGCCGACAGTGAACACTGGTACGAATCCGCCACTAGCTAGCTCTTGTACTCGTCGATGTCCCTTCTGAAAATTTTCATGTAACTCCGTTACTTCAGATCCGCGACGCAATCTAGTACCTGCACTTCCATACCCGCGTCTATGCTTCAGCTGCAGATAAAACGTCATCCACGGCGACCTCGAAAGATACGCCCGAGACTCATACCACTCCTGCGACTCCTGCGACTCCTGCGACTCCAGCGACTCCTGCGACTCCTGCGACTGCATCAGATGCGGTCTCGACCAAAGGTTAGCACATAGACTCTCTGCATCGGCCTGTTTCTGCATCTTATTTCCATCCGTATCATTATACTCGCGGATCTGGCAGGAGCAAAAACGGATCTGTGTTTTTGCGTGATCTTTTCTTTGTTCCTTGATGTCGCATGGGCTTTCTGAACCAGACGACGTGAAACCAGAGGAACCACGAAAGGCCGTTGAGGTTACTCAGGCGACGGAAGCAACTTCGCCAGAACAGTCGACTCAGGCAAATGCTGCGACGAATGGGGGAGCCGGCGGAGGAGGAGGGGGAGGGAAGAAGAAGAACAAGAAGAAGCCATCCTCTGAATCCGTCGGTGTGCAAGGTACGAGAATCGTGCGTACGCCATGGTAAGCAAACTGTGGTAATGTTATGCTGCGCGCTTCATGGTTGCTCAGCATTTCTGTCGTGCTGGAATAAGACGCGAATTTATCGACGGAAAATGGTGCGAGATCAGGTAGCGACCAACTTCTGCATTAGTTTCTTTTCTACGTCGGGTATTCAAGGGGCGAAATGAAGGAACCCGCTGTGAGACCCGCTATTGAAGTTAAGTGGTCTATCCTACAGCTGGGGAGGAGGAAGTAAAACAACACTTTGGCGTGCTGATTTGTTTCTGGTTCGTGCAGTATTATTCATTGTGTAATGTCCAAAACGCACTGTCTGTGACGTTGCGGGGGTTGTCAATCGCGAACTCGTTTGAGATTCAGTTTTGCTTCTGTTGCCTACTTGTGCTCATTCCTTCCTTCCCAGCAGTTCCCGCAGCTGCCACGCCACAAGCCTCAGCAGATGCTGCGGCGTCTCAGCCCAAGGAAGGGGGGGAGATTCTGCCGGCAGCTGCAGCAGCAGTAGTTGCTGCGGCTGCCGTCTCTGTTGCTCTCGAGCCAGCCCCTGAACCGTCACCAGAGCCTGCTCCTGCAGCCCTTGAACCTGTACCTGAAACACCTGAACCTGCACCTGAAGCACCTGAACCTGCACCTGAAGCACCTGAAACCGCACCAGCAGCCCCTGAGCCTGAACCTGCACCAGCAGCCCCTGAGCCTGAACCTGCACCAACAGCTCCTGAACCTGTACCAGCAGCCGCTGAGCCTGCACCTGAAGCACCTGAACCCGCAGCAGCAGCCCCTGAGCCTGCACCTGCACCAGCAGCCCCTGAACCTGCACCTGTGCCAGCAGAAGCTGAGCCTGTTCCTAAAGCACCTGAGCCTGTGCCTGCAGCCCCTGAACCTGCTCCAGAAGCCACACTGGTATCATCTGAGCCTGCACCAGCAGCACCTGAACCAACGCCTGCTGCACCTATTACAGCGCCAACACCCATTCCTGAAACAGCAGCCGTTGAGGCGGCACCGCCTGCAGTGGAGGACCAACAACCAGAATCAGAGGCCACGGTTGCGGTCACAGAAAGCAGCAGTGGTGCAGAAGATGCGAGGGAAGGGGTTGGGGGTGGTGCAGAGAAGCAGGGTTCTGCTGACACGGCTGCACCAGTGGCTGCCGCTGCTGGGTCATCGTCGTCTGTAGGGGTTGAAGAAGAAACGAAGGTTGTGGTTTCAGAAACGAGGTCGAGTGCGGGAAGTGAGGCTGGAAAGCCAGTGGAGGAGGAGAAGGACGTAAACGGTGTGGAGGGAGAGAAACCAGTCGCCACTGGCCAGGTATGGCAGAACATTATTTTTTTCTTTTGTTTTGTTTCATAATATATTCCCCCCCCCCCTCCCCCTCCTCCCCCCCCCCCCCCCCTAAATTTTCGCAATGCATCTGATTATCGTTGCAATTGCAACTCACCATCCTGTACTTTGTGCTGCTGCACTGCTCTCTTTTGGCTCCTGCTGTTGGCTAATAGCACTGATGATAACCCGCTGCTGCTGCATCATGTGAGAATCCGTTTACACTCCTGATTTCCTTGACTTTACTGCAAATTTGTGTTCATATATACAACAGGAGCCGATTGAGATCATTGAGCCGAAGCCCCTACCTAACTGTTCTGCAATTGTCTGCTGGCTTTTTGGCTGGACTGTGTAAGTGTGTGATATGGTCAATCCATTTGGCAAATCAGCATCTGGATGCAGAAATTGCATGGGCACGTCTGGTAAAGGATGCAGTGCATGAGGCTTCCTAACTAGACATTGATAGAAGTCTGGCTGTTTTGGATCCTCCTATGGTACTGCTAAAGCTGGGTTTTTTTTTGTTTCCATTGCATGCTTTCAGTTCTCATCTTCACACGCTGCATCAGAGCATAATAAGTTTTTGTTCTTTTAATCATCGTAGTCAAAGGTTTATGAAGAAGCACATTGCATGTAGACTCTCAACTGAGTGTTCCGCTATTGACCTGCTTGTTGAGTCGTCAGAGTCGCTATGGGGATGGTTCAGTCTGCCACGCATGCCACGAAGCGTAATCGAGGGCTGGTGTGGAAACTCGACGTGCCCGCCAAGCTGAACTGCCGCTTTTAGGACGTATCCAGCTCGCACATGTCGTTCTGTCCGGTCTAATTCGTTGTATCGTAGATCCATAGCACGGTGGAGAAGAAAAGCATTGCTATTTACCATGTGGAACCCTTCTGGTACGGTGGATCCCACTTTTAGGGACCCTGTTTCCTCAGGTCGTCACTAGAAAAAAACTGAGTCGTAACGGGGTTCGGAATATCCTGCACAACACGCCCTAAGCTAGTAGGTGTTCGAGCAGGTTCGCTCCTGCTCCGCGATAATGCAGGGCAGAGCAGTGCCAACTTTGAAGTGTGCTGAGCTGTTTAGATTTTGGGATGGCAATCGATGACATTTCAGTCAGGCGTAACCTCGGGATAGGAAAGCATTAGTCAGGCTTGGCGACGCGGCGGAGTTTCCAATGACGTGACAAGTCCACCTCGAGGTTGCCTCGCAGGCATTGCTAACAGCGGCCCAGAATCTCGTAAATAATCAGTGGCGAAACAGCTTGCATGCTGCCATGTGTTCGGTAGCTCGCGAAGCGAAGTTCGCTAGCCTCGATAGTTTCAGTCCCATATGTCACGAGCCAAGCCTTGACAGTAATACGCCACATAGCTGCGTGGAGGAATTAGCCGTCGTAAACCCTTGATTTTTGAAATAGCCACGTGTTGTTCAGCTAGCGCGTGTCGGAGCTGCATGGGAAGCGTCTAGCTCTTCCTGGCTTTTGCGGGAACCGCGTTATAGGTCCTTCTTTTCCGTCCGTTTACTCAAACAATTATCGTTTACTCAGCACTGAACGTTCGAGGCTGTAACGACGACAAATGTTACCGACAGTCACGAACATTTTCGAACGAAGTCCACCATACAGGCTCACCACCACCACCTCCCCCACCACCCTCACCCACTGCTGCTACCTCCACTAACTAGAATACCGATCGTAAATTGTCAGAATGCCGTGGTTCGGAGGGAAAAAAGCAACCAAGCCTCCGCCGCCGCCGCCTCCGGACGGACTGCTGCAGATCAGCGATCGCGTGTTCGGTGCGTTTTAGGGTTACCTTAGGTTTCAATACGCGTGAGCTTTCGCATGACGGTTGTGCGTGGAATCTTGCTGCTGAGGGTTGTTGGGATGTAAGGTCTCCTGTTCAACGGTCATGATGGAGCGATTCAGATTAGCTGTCTGTTTCCTTTTCCCTCCTCCCTTTCGCATCGCTTCGCACCCTCACTCGCCTCGTGGAGTATTCGACTCCGGATGCAGGGCCGCGTACCTACATATGACCGAGTTACTCATATTTCCTCTCTTGCTTAGACTCGACTTTCCGTTTTCATTTGAAACCACCCTCCTCTCCTCCTCTTGGGTAGTTCGTGAGTTCCCTGAGGGCATCGTTCCAGTCCTTTTTTTTCCAGTTGAATCATAAATCACCGCGGTCCCTGGTTTTTAGTAAACTCGAAATACGAGTCGCTTTTGAGAATTCTCAGTAGCTCCTCAAATATTATATCATGGCCACCCCAGTCACCGTTTTTCAGTCAACTCGAAAGGCACTGTTATCTCTCCTGTCTTCCTCCCACTCGTCTGTCTCTCCCTTCCTCTGCGTCCTCTTCAGCCTCTCCCTCCGTTTTTCGCTCCCAGCAGTCTTGTCACTTTTATCTCCCCGTCCCTTACCGTTTTCTCGTCTCCTCACTCCCTTAATTCCGTCCTCCTCCCCTCCTCCCACTTCCGGACTCCCATATCCCTTCCCCCCGTCCTCTGATCCCTCCTCCTACCCCTTCTCCTTCCGTTTCCTGATCTCTCCAACCCCTTTTCTCTTCGGTTCCCGATCCCTCCCTCCCCTGCTTGCCCTCTCCCCCTTCCCTTCCCCCACACCCTTCCTTTCCCCCCTCAGTGTTTGATTCCTGCATTGCCAATGACGTGCCCACCACAGCCACCTACCGCCTCTACTTCCGCCAGATCTGCACAGATCTCCGCAATCAAATCTCTGATGCATCCATCCTCATCTGCAATTTCCGTGACGGCAGCAGCGGCTCCAGCCGAACTCTCTTCGCCGGATCTTATTTTCTAGATTCCGATGCCACAGTTCTTGAGTACCCCAGACATTTTGAGGGCTGCCCGATTCTTTCTCTTGACCTGATCGAACATTTTCTTCAGTCCACCAATAGCTGGCTCCAACAGGAATTTGACCTGCCCGGTTACAAGCCAAAGCAGGCCAAAAAGTTTCCGGAGGAGGCTGATGGGGGGACACCAGCAACAGCAGCAGCAGCAGCAGCAACAACAATTAGGGTTGGCTTCACCGTGCGGCAACGGGCGGCGGCGGAAAAACATTGTCCTCTTGCATTGCGAGCGTGGCGGGTGGCCTCTCTTGGCGTTTATGATCGCCTCGTTTCTAGTCTTCCACAAGGAATGGAACGGCGAGGAGGAGCGGGATCTATTACAGGGCATCTATAAAGCGGCTCCTAGAGGTTTCCTCCAGCTTCATTACCCCTTAAATCCAGTCCCGTCTCAGGCAAGGTATCTTCAATACATAGCCCACTGCGTTAGCTCGTTACCCCACGAGTTCATTGAGCGGGAAGGCAAGGAAAAGAAGGGGAAGGGGATGGGGACGGGGAAGGGGAAGGGGAAGGGGAAGGGGGAGGCTGAGGAGGATGGCAGCGAGTGGGGGAGTCATGCGCTGGTCCCGTCTTCTAGAGAGGGGTGTCTGGGAGCGAGCAACAGTCGGATGGTGACTCTAGACTGTGTGATTATGCGCGGCGTGCCACAGCTGGACGCGAGGGGCGGGTGCTGCCCTGTGATTAGAGTGTTTGGGCGCGATCCTGGCCTGCCGGAGAACCGAGACTCGGGGCTGCTGTTCCTGAGCGCGAGGCATGGGGTGAACCGAGCCAAGTACTATCTGCAGGTGAGTGAGTGAGGCATGGGTTTGGCATGAGTGAGTCGAGTATTACCTGGGGTGAATAGGGACGCGAGGGGCGGGTGCTGCCCTGTGATTCGAGTGTTTGGGCGCGTCCCTGGGCTGCCGGAGAACCGAGACTCAGGGCTGCTGTTTCTGAGCACGAGGCATGGGGTGAACCGAGCCAAGTACTACCTGCAGTTGAGTGAGTGAGGCATGGGGTAAGGCTACATGCAGGTGAGGCATGGGGTAAGGCTACATGCAGGTGAGGCATGGGGTAAGGCTACATGCAGGTGAGGCATGGGGTAAGGCTACATGCAGGTGAGGCATGGGGTAAGGCTACCTGCAGGTGAGGCATGGGGTAAGGCTACATGCAGGTGAGGCAAGGGGTAAGGCTACCTGCAGGTGCAGGGGTGGTGGAGATGGTGGTGGTGCAAGGGAATGTGGTAACTGAAGGCTGATTTGTATAGTCTTGCATGCCTCTTCCTGCCTGCTCTCACTCTACCTCCCCTTTCCTCCCATTTGGCACCAGAGGGAAGCGGAGGTGGTGAAGATGGGTGTGATGGCGGTGGTGCAGGGCGACGCGGTAAGCGAGTCGAGTGCGTGCATGTGGGTGCATCAATTCACTACGCCCCTCGCCTGTCTTTGCCGTTTTCTCCCCTTTTTGGCACTCAGAGGGAAGCGGAGGTGGTGAAGATGGATGTGATGGCGGTGGTGCAGGGCGACGTGGTCATTGAGTGCGTGCATGTGGACATGGAGGGCGCGGGCAGCGAGCAGATGGTGTGGCGAGTGGCGTTCAACACGGCCCACGTGCGATCCAACATGCTCGTGCTCTCAAGGGACGATCTGGATATTCTCTGGCACACTCGCGAGCGATTTACCCAGGACTTCAGGGTGGAAGTGAGTTTTGAATAGGGTTGTTATGAGATTTCTGTTAGAATTGGGTGGGGTGAGTGTGGCGCCACACAAGACATCAGAGAGTGGGAGGTGAGGTTTGAGGCAACTGGTAGTGAGCAGATGGTGTGGCGAGTGGCGTTCAACACGGCCCACGTGCGATCCAACATGCTCGTGCTCTCAAGGGACGACCTGGATATTCTCTGGCACACAAGGGAACGGTTTAACCAGGACTTTAGAGTGGACGTGAGCTGTGGCATTGGACTGAGGTGAGTGAGCGTTCTTTGGGCATTGCTGGATGCCCCAAATTTAATTTTCGTCAGCCTTTTAAGGCGCCGTTTCCCTTCAGCATGTACTCAATGCTGCTTTTGCCCCTGTCCCACCCTTTAGATCCTTCTGACAGACTGGGAGTCCAAGGTGCCGCCTCCCCCAGCTGTCATCTCCCTGGCTGCAGACCATGTTTTATGCCCACGTTCTGTGATGCCCTTTCCCTACCCACCCACCCTTCAGATCCTTCTGACAGACCGGGAGTCCAGAGTACCGCCTCCCCCAGCTGCCACCTCCCTGGCTGCAGACGACTACGGCGGTTTACCCTTAGATTCCTTCTTGAAGCTCAAGGAGGCCTTTGAGGACTCTGCCTGGTCACACGACGACAGCTCGCGCGCCCTAGAAGAGATTCGCCACACCATCTACGCTGCTCGACCCGAATTCTTCAGGAGATTTGGTTCAAGCGCCATTGTCCCTTAGTGGCTGACGTTCTGTCTTGCCCTTGCCCTGCCCCACCCACCCACCCACCCTCCAGATCCTATTGACAGACCGGGAATCCAAGGTGCCGCCTCCCCCGGCCGCCACCTCTCTGGCGGCAGACGATTATGGCGGTTTACCCTTAGATTCCTTTCTGAAGCTCAAGGAGGCCTTTGAGGACTCTGCCTGGACGCAAGACGACAGCTCGCGCGCCCTAGAGGAGATTCGCCACACCATCTATGCCGCGGCCAGCACCAAGAGGAGAAACCGGAGGAGTGGAGGAGGGTCGGGAAGCAGAGGGTTGCGGGTTCGAACCCGGGTGCCGGCGGGTGGGAAATGGGGCCCGGGAGGGGCGGGTTTTGCAGGGGATATGCTTGATGATAGTGATTATGCGTCGGATTTGGATTCTGCGGATACTTCTCCGACGTTTTCTAGTATGCTGCAGTCGAGGGATGGGAGCCCGTCGCCGGCCCGGCCGTTTGGGAGTGGTTTAGGGTTTGGGATGTTTGGGTTTCCGGGCGGGAAGGTGAGGAGGAAGGTGGGATCGGAGTGTGTGTTGCCGCCGGGGTTGCTGTTTGCGGAGCAGACTTATACGGAGGAGGAGGGGCTGACGCGGAGAGAGAGGGCGAGTGCGGGTGATTTGAAGATGCTTTGGCTGGATTTGGCGAATGGGCCATCGCTGTATTGGAATGAGTGGGATTCGGAGCTGAATCCTGTTCTGGGGAAGCTTTTAAGGAGGATGTCGAAGCGGGTGCCGGGGTTTAAGTTGCCCGAGATGGGGTTGTTGGGGCAGAAGGGGTTGGAGAAGGGGGAGGAGGAGAAGAAGGAAGATGAGAAGGAGGAGAAGAAGGAAGATGAGAAGGAGGAGAAGAAGGAAGAAAAGGAGGAGGAGAAGGAAGAGAATAAGGAGGAGAAGAAAGAGGAGAAGAAGGAGGAGGAGAAGGAAGAGGAGGAAGATGAGGAAGAAAAAGCGGCTGCTGCAGCTGCTGCTGCTGCTGAGGCTGCAGCAGAGAGGAAAAAACAGGAGAAGCTGAGAAAGGCTGAAGAGAGGCGGAAGGAGGCTGAGAGGAGGAGGCTGGAGGAAGAGGAAGAGGAGAGGAGGGAGGAGGAGAGGTGGAGGGAGGAGCAGAAGAGGAGGCAGGAGGAGAGGGCAGCTAGAAAGGCAGCGCTAGCTGCAAAGATGGCTGAACCAGACCCTCCCAGTCCCAAAGTTGCCCCCCCTCCCCCGCCTCCCCCTCCGGGAGGGGGACCCCCCCCGCCTCCTCCGCCTCCCCCTCCCCCACCCCCTCCCCCAGGCGGGGCCCCTCCCCCTCCTCCCCCACCCCCTCCCCCACCCCTTCCCCCTGGTGCGGGTCCTCCCCCGCCTCCTCCCCCACCCCCTCCCCCACCCCCTCCCCCAGGTGGCGGTCCTCCCCCGCCCCCTCCCCCGCCTCCTCCCCCACCCCCTCCCCCAGGTGGGGGGCCCCCTCCTCCGCCCCCTCCCCCTCCCCCACCCCCTCCCCCAGGTGGGGGCCCTCCCCCGCCTCCTCCCCCACCCCCTCTTCCAGGCGGGGGCCCTCCCCCGCCTCCACCTCCACCTCCTCCCCCAGGCGGGGCCCCTCCCCCGCCCCCACCCCCACCTCCTCGTCCAGGTGGTGGGCCTCCCCCTCCCCCTCCCCCACCCCCTCTCCCAGGCGGGGGCCCTCCCCCGCCTCCTCCTCCCCCACCACCCCCAGGAGGGGGCCCTCCCCCACCTCCCCCCCACCCCCTCCCCCTGGCGGGGGCCCTCCCCCGCCTCCCCCTCCCCCTGGCGGGTTCAAAGGACCTCCCCCTCCCCCTCCCCCTCCTGGCGGGTTCAAAGGTCCCCCGCCCCCTCCCCCTCCCCCAGGGGGAAGGGTCCCCCCCCGCCCCCCCCTCCCCCAGGGGGCAAGGGCGGACCACCTCCCCCTCCCCCGCCCCCAGGGTTTAAGGGCCCCCCGCCTCCCCCTGGGTTCAAGGGTCCCCCCCCTCCCCCGGGGTTTAAGGGCCCCCCCCCTCCCCCCGGGTTCAAGGGTCCCCCGGGGCCCCCTCCCCCCGGGGGGTTCAAGGGGGGGTTTGCGCCTGCTGCGCCCCCCCCTAAGAAGAAAACCCCCCTAAAGGCGTTTTTCTGGGGGAAGGTGACTCGAGTGGTGGAGGGGAACATGTGGGCTGAGGTGCAGAAAGAAGAGCAGGTCGCTGCTACCCCCAGGTGTGTTCTTCTTCCCTCCTCTCTCTTTGCTTCTCTTTCTTGAGGTGAGGCGTCTCAAAGCAGCGTGATTCTCGAGTGGTGGAGGGAAACATGTGGGCTGAGGTGCAGAAGGAGGAGCAGGTCGCTGCTACCCCAGGTGCATACTTCTTCCCTCCTCTCTTTTCTCCTCTGGCTTCTCTCTCTTTCCTCGTTCTTGAGGCGGCTCAAAAGAAGGTGACTCGAGTGGTGGAGGGGAACATGTGGGCTGAGGTGCAGAAGGAGGAGCAGGTCGCTGCTACCCCCAGGTGCGTACCTCTCTCCTCCTCTTTCCTCCCTCACTTCTTTCCTCCTCTTTATTCACTCGTCTCGTCCGTTCCCCTCCCCCCCCTTCCCCGCGATCCGCTGCTCCTTGTTGAAGTGATGCTTCAATTCTTTTCCAAGATGACCTGTTGTGTAGTTTGCTTGAGAGCTTTACCGCATTGCACCGTAACTCACTGCACCATACCGTGCTGCACCATAGCGCACTGCATCTTACCGCATTGTACCTTATGATGCTTGTGTAACACTTCATGACTAGCTCAGCTCTGGCACCTTGTTCCGGCCTCTGCTCTCATCAACCCCACGCATTTCCCTGCATCTGGGCGGTTTCCTTTGTGTGCATGTGGGCGGTTTCCTTTGTCTGCACATGGGCGGCGTCCTTTGTCCGCATGTGGTGCAGGTTGGACTTGGAGGCGCTTTATCCGGAGCTGGAAGATCTGTTTTCTGCCGCCCCTCCCCCCAAGAAGAAGGACACGGGGCCTAAGAAGGAGGCCAAGCCGCAAGCCCTCACTCTTGTGAGTTAAAATTCTTTCCTCCTTAAAATTTCCCAAATGTGGTTCTATCCGCCCCCCTTCCCCCAAGAAGAAAGACACCAGCCCCAAGGAGGAGGCCAAGGCCAAGCCACAAGCCCTCACTCTTGTATGCTGCGCCGTGCCTCCTTGTGTTGCGCCTCTTGCCTCGAAAGAACCCCATTTGCTCCTCTGCGCCTCATCTTCTTTCTAGTCGTCTCACATGTCTTTCATGCCAACAGTAGTGTTTTTTTTTTTTGTTTTTTTTTTTGTTATATATATATATATATATATATATATATATCCGTCTCAATACGTTTGATTCCTTGTCCTTTCATCGTGTCTCTAATCGACACAATCCATTCCAAAAGTTGTTTCTTTCAATTCAAACCGACTCAATATGTTTGCCCTGATTACCCCATCTTCTTCTGGCGTGGTTCAGGTTGATATGAAGCGCGCCAACAATTGTATGATTATGCTTTCCAACATGAAGCACCTCAAGTACCCTGAGATTGTGGTGAGTTGGAGGAGTAGAGAGCTGTTTGGAAGGGTTCGGATTGATTTGAAGCGCGCCAACAATCGTGTGATCATAAACATGAAGCACCTTGAAAGCACCTCAAGCACCCTGAGATTGTGGTGAGTTGGAGTGCAATATGGATCTGTCTAGAAGAGCTTTAACGAATTCCCGCTAGAGGGGTTTCTAAGATTATGCTTTCCAACATGTAGCGTCTCAAATACTCCCAGGTTGTGGTGGTTTGAATGGCAAGCTCAGATTGTGTTTCCGCTCTGCCACTCCTCTCAGGAGGACGCCAGCGATGGCCAGAAAGGTGCTGGGGGCAGAGAAGGTGGATGCGCTGCTGAAAGCGACGGTGCACATTTGCCACCCGAAACCCTAACCCCTGGCGAACTGCTACTGCGGAGGAAAAGTGTCTGCACGAAATCCTGGTTTTCGCCAGCCAACACTTTCGCGCTGGCAAGCCTGGTTCAGAACAAAAACTTCTGAACCCGTGCGTGTCAAATCTAGACCCTCGTTTGAAGAGGTTTGCATGAACAGCACTCACTACCGGTACCTTTCCCCCCTCGCTCCACTCTTTTCCCCCTCTCTCATCCACGCAGGATGCCATTCTAGCGCTGGACAGCAAGGTGCTGGATGCGGAGAAGGTGGACGCGCCTTGAACAACGCTCAGTGTCTTGCTTTTGTCTCCACCACTCCTTCGTCTCCCTCACGCTCTCTGATACATGCTCGCAGGACGCCATTCTAGCGCTGGACAGCAAGGTGCTGGATGCAGAGAAGGTGGATGCGCTGCTGAAGTTCTGCCCCACCAAGGAAGAAGGGGAGATGATCAAGGTGCGTACATGCTGTGATGTGATGGTCCACGCGAGGTGCTTCAGTGCATGGGGGCGTGGGGGCATGAGGGTATGGAGGTGTGGGGGAATGGGGGCATGAGGGCATGGAGGTGTGCAGGCAAGGTGCTGGATGCAGAGAAGGTGGATGTGCTACTCAAGTTCTGCCCCACCAAGGAAGAAGGGGAGATGATCAAGGTGCGATGCTCTATGTTTGTATGTACGGTGGTGGAAGTGAGTGAGATGGGTGGGGCCAGCCCAGCAGCTGCTTGCGGTGAGTTGGTTGCGGCTAGGTGCTTCAGTCGACCTACAAGGGCGTGCAACAGACAAGCTGGGCAAGTGCGAGCAGTTCTTCCTTTTCTGGAGATGCTGCGAGCACCGTAGTGCCTCTCCTTCCCCACTACCTCTCTTCTCTTTATCCTCTATTATCCCCTCATACCCTCACCTTCCTCGCAGGGCTGCGGCATGCCTCCGGACAAGCTGGGCAAGTGCGAGCAGTTCTTCCTTCCCTGGAGATGCTGTGAGCGGCTTAATCTGCCATTCCTTTCTCTCCCCTTCCCTTCACCCTCTTCAATCCCCTCCTATCCTATCCTCCCTCGCAGGGCTGTGGCATGCCGCCAGACAAGCTGGGCAAGTGCGAGCAGTTCTTCCTGGACACGCTGCGAGCGCCTCTCAATTTGCCTCGTTCAGTCCCTCAAATCCCCTGCCATCTTCCCTTTTCCTTTATCCCCTCCTTTTGTCTCCTCCCTTACAGGGCTGTGGCATGCCGCCAGACAAGCTGGGCAAGTGCGAGCAGTTCTTTCTGGAGATGCTGCGAGCGCCGCGTATCGAAGCCAAGCTGAGGATCTTTGAGTTCAAGCTGTCGTACGACCAGCAGGTGAGGCAGGCCATGCCATGCCATGCCATGCCAGCAGGTGAGGGGAGGGAGTGGCACGCCGTGTCAGCAGGTGAGAGGAGTGCCACGCTGCGCCAGCAGGTGAGGGCTGTTGCGGTGCGACTAGCCGACTACGTGCATGTGTGAGTAGTCGCGTATTGAAGCCAAATTGAGGATGTTTGAGTTCAAGCTGTTGTACGACCAGCAGCTGAGGGCCATGCCATGCCATGCCATGCCATGCCATGCCGATCACCATTTCGGGAGCTGTTGTGGTGAGACCAGCAGGTGAGGGAGAGGGTCATGCATGTGTGCAGTTATGAATTCCAATGTAACCCCATTACGCGTGGATTCAAATGTGCCCCCTGCCCCTGCCCACCTGCAGGTCAAGGACGTGCAGCGCATTCTTCAAAGCACTTGAGTTGAGAGAGAATGTTCGAAGGATTGACGTTTCAAATCTCCCACGCATGTACCCCACTACCTACTTGCAGGTGAAGGACGTGCAACGCAATCTGGACCTCGTCCATAATGCGTGCAAGGAGGTGAGTGTGACTGTAAGGAGGTGACTGTGACTGTAAGGAGGTGAGTGTGACTGTAAGGAGGTGAGTGTGACTGTAAGGAGGTGAGTGTGACTGTAAGAAGGAATCTCCCTCCCTCCACTCCCTCCACTCTCCCCTCCCCCCCCCCTCCCTCTTCCCTCTCTTTCCCATCTTCCAACTCTGCTTTTCTCTTCATTTCCTCCTCTTCTCTTCCCTCTCTCTTCCTCTTCCTCCATCCTTCCGGCGCCCCCTCTGTAAGAAATATATATTGTAGCATGCCAACACTTGTGACTGTACACCAATTGTGGTGTACAGTTGGGTTGGGACTACACCCAACATTGGGTGTAGTCTTGCACTTTGGGGTGCCAATCCACCCAATTGTGGTGTAGCCCCCAAATGCAACCCTCTTGACTTATGGGTACCTCACTTCCCACAATTGAGGTCACCTCAAACCAAGTGGGCCTAGGGTTGCCTCACTTCTACAAAGTGTGGGCAACCCAACCCACTTGACCTATGGTTACCTCACTCCCCCAAGTGAGGTCAACCCAACCTATGGTCACATTCATCCTTCCTTCCAACGATGTATGCTAGGTTTCTCCTCTAATCTAATTACTTGTTTAATTTACAATCTTCACACCCTCTTCCCCGCCTCTTCCCCCCCTCTTCCCCATGCCAAGCAGGTCCGGGAATCAAAGAGGCTGAGGCGCATAATGCAGACCATTCTGTCTCTGGGGAACGCGCTCAATCAGGGCACTGCTAGGGGCTCTGCCATTGGGTTTAAGCTGGACAGTCTTCTCAAGCTCACAGACACCAAGACGCGCAACAACAAGATGACCCTCATGCACTACCTGGCGAAGGTAAGTGGGTGCTGTGCGGTGAAGCTGGGTGCTGAGGGGTTAAGGTGGGTGCTGTGCGGTGGAGCTGGGTGCTGAGGGGCGAAGATGGGTGCTGAGGGGTCAAGGTGGGTGCACTTGTGCTGTAATGTGAGCCCTTGATTGGAATGGGGTGGGGTTGCTTTCAAGCTGGACAGCACAGTCTTCTCAAGCTCACGGACACCAAGACGCGCAACAAGATGACCCTCATGCACTACCTGGCGAAGGTGGGCTTGTTGAGGGGTTCAAATTGGTGCTGAGGGGTCAAGCTGAGTTCTCTTGTCAAGCTGGACAGTCTGCTCAAGCTCAAGGACACCAACCAAGACGCACAACAAGATGACCCTCATGCACTACCTGGCGAAGGTGGGCTTGTTGAGGGGTTCAAATTGGTGCTGAAGGGTCAAGCTGGGTTCTCTTGTCAAGCTGGACAGTCTGCTCAAGCTCAAGGACACCAACCAAGACGCCCAACAAGATGACCCTCATGCACTACCTGGCGAAGGTGGGCTTGTTGAGGGGTTCAAATTGGTGCTGAGGGGTCAAGCTGGGTTCTCTTGTCAAGCTGGACAGTCTTCTCAAGCTCACGGACACCAACCAAGACGCACAACAAGATCACCCTCATGCACTACCTGGCGAAGGTGGGTGCTGCTGATTGGCCTAAACAAAAACATTCCTTTCCATGCCATTAATTCTCTTCTCTACTCTTTTTTTCTCTCTCTCCACCCCCCTTTTCCCCTTCTCCCCCTCACTTCAGGTGCTTACCGAGAAGCTTCCCGAGCTCGCCTTGTTCTGGGAGGAGCTGCCATCACATCATTTGAAGAGGTCCACAAGTTGTAACTTTTGCTCCTCATGCACTTGTGGGCCCACTCACCTGAGTGCAGTAAACCTGGCTGATTTTCCCCCCTCCACTCCTCCTCGTATCCGCTCTTCCTTCAGGTACTCACAGAGAAACTTCCCGAGCTCGCCTTGTTCTGGGAGGAGCTGCCATCACTTGAAGATGCCCACAAGGTATGCTGAGTATAATTCTAATTGAGTCGACTCACAAAGGATCTTCCCGGGCTCGATTTCTTTTGGGAGAAATCTGTTTTTTTGAGAATTCTCAAGAACAGTTTTTGAGTCGACTCAAGAAGAAGCTTCCTGAGCTCGCCTTGTTTTGGGAGGAGCTGCTGTTGCTTGGATTGAAGATGCCCACAAGGTGTGTCTTCTTCCGAACCTGCTCTCGAGGCTTGGCTTTCCCGAACCTGTTGTCAATATGTGCCTTGCAAGCGTGCCCTCTCAAGGTGTGTCCTCCGAACCTGCCCACAAGGGTTGTCTCTTGTCCCTTCCCAACCCACTATCAATACTTAGCAGCACTAACCCAACCCTGCAGGTTTGTTTTGACTTAAACAGTACTTGGGGGCAGGCTTAGGACGCCATATCGGCACTAAGTCAGGCTATCAGGATCCCCCTCTCCCCCTCTCCCCCCTCTCCCCCGCTCCCCCTATCCCCCTCTCCCCCGCTCCCCCTCTCCCCCTCTCCCCCGCTCCCCTGCTCCCCCTCTCCCCCGCTCCCCCTCTCCCCCCCCCCCCCCTCCCCCCCTCCCCCTCTCCCCCTCTCCCCCCCTCCCCCGCTCCCCCTCTCCCCCGCTCCCCCTCTCCCCCCCTCCCCCCTCTCCCCCTCTCCCTCTCCCCCCTCCCCCTCTCCCCCGCCCCCGCTCCCCCCCCCTCTCCCCCGCTCCCCCCCCCTCTCCCCCTCTCCCCCGCTCCCCCGCTCCCCCTCTCCCCCGCTCCCCCTCTCCCCCTCTCCCCCTCTCCCCCGCTCCCCCGCTCCCCCTCCCCCTCCCCCGCTCCCCCCTCCCCCTCCCCCCCTCCCCCCCTCTCCCCCCTCCCCCTCTCCCCCGCTCCCCCTCTCCCCCCCCTCCCCCCCTCCCCCCCTCCCCCCCTCCCCCCCTCCCCCTCTCCCCCTCTCCTCCCTCCCCCCCGCTCCCCCTCTCCCCCGCTTCCCCTCTCCCCCTCTCCCCCCCTCCCCCTCTCCCCCTCTTCCCCTCTTCGCCTTTGATCCGATGGGACGCCCAGCACTAAGTCGGGCCTTAGACCCAGTATCAGGATCCTCTCCTCCCTTCCGAAAGTCTGCAGAATTCTACAGCGGCACGGCACCACTCAGTGTGCCCCATTCTCTCCCTTGTGACCCCTCCGCCTTCTCCCCCTACCAGATCCAAGTAAAACAGCTAGGAGAGGAGATGCAGCAGCTGAACAGCGGTACCACCAAGCTGGAGCATTGCTCTCCTTCTTCCCCTTATCTCCTGCTCTCTCCCCCCACCAATCAAGACCCTTTCGTCTCATCCCTCCCCCCTTTTCAGATCCAAGTAAAACAGCTAGGAGAGGAGATGCAGCAGCTGAACACGGCACCACCAAGCTGGAGCATGCAGTGCAGTGTGCCCCATTCTCTCCCTTGGTTTCCTCCCCTTCCATTCGTCTTCCTCCCCGTTCAGATCCAAGTGAAGCAGCTAGGAGAGGAGATGCAACAGCTGAACACGGCACCACCAAGCTGGAGCATGCAGTGCAGTGTGACCCATTCTCTCCCTTGGTTTTCCTCCCCTTCCATTCGTCTTCCCCGCCGTTCAGATTCAAGTAAAACAGTTAGGAGAGGAGATGCAGCAGCTCAACAGCGGCACCACCAAGCTGGAGCATGCAGTGCAGTGTGCCCCATTCTCTCCCTTGGTTTCCTCCCCTTCCATTTGTCTTCCCCGAAGTTCAGATCCAAGTGAAACAGCTAGGAGAGGAGATGCAGCAGCTCAACAGCGGCACCACCAAGCTGGAGCGTTGACACGACCCTTTTTCTTGTCTCCATCTTCCCTCCACCCCCTACACACACGGCGTCCACTTACATTCCCCATCAGATTCAAGTGAAGCAACTGGGGGAGGAGATGCAGCAGCTGAACAGCGGCACCACCAAGCTGGAGCGCGAAATGGTGGCCTCAGAAAAAGATGGACCCGTGTCTGAGAACTTCAGAAAGGTGTGCACAGGGGGGAGTGGGGCGGGGACGGTTATTTCAGTAAATATAGATGGTGTCAAGGTGTCTCAAGGTTTGCCAACTTGCTCAGTCTACTCAACCTTTTATGGCCCTGCCCCCCCTCTCTCCCGCCCTCCCATCCCACTCCTCTCTTTCTCCCTCCCATTCCACCCGCCATAGGCACTGAAAGAGTTTGCAGAGGAGGCCACGGCAGGAGCCAAGAAGCTGGCTGCACTCTATGCTGACGTGGTGGGTTGACTTTCTTGACTGGGCTGTCTGGGGTGTCTGGGCTTTACAGCTTTGACTGCGTTGACTTATGTGCCTGGGTTGGCTGGGTTTACGGATTTGACTGCCTTGACTTCCTGTCGTGGGTTAGCTGGGTTGACTGTTTTGACTACCTTGACTTCCTGTCGTGGGTCTGGCTCCTTCCCTTGACTGGGCGACTTTTGAGGCGCCTCAAAAGTCCTCCCTTGAACTGGGCGCTGATTGGCTGTAGTGTGGCAGTGATGGAAGAGGTGCTTTGGTGCCTCGATCTTTCATGTGTAACACGCACACACAGTTGTTTTCTTGGAATCAGCTCAAGTTCTTGTTTCATTGCAATTCTTGCCAAGGCTGACTCTTCATGGCCGTCCTGACACTGCAGATGTTGCTATCTATGGGTGTGATGGCATATGGTGTGGTGTGGTGTGCTGTGGTTTCGTGTGATGTGGTGTGGTGTGGAGTGTGGTGGTGCGTCTACGGGACTGCTTGTTGTGGGTTATGGTTATGGTGTGGTGGGGTGGTGTCGCATAACACACTTGGGATTTGTTGCATTGCTGCTTGGACGGTGCTGCATGGTGCTGCGTGGTGTTGCATGGTGCTGCATGGTACTGTGTGGTGCTGCATGGTGGTGCGTGGTATTGCAGTCGAAGGCCACAGATGGGCTCTCGAGATACTTTGGAGAAGACCCAAACAAGTGCCCCTTCGAGCAAGGTGAGGCATTTTACCCTTCCCTCCTCCCGCTTCCCTCCTCCCGCTTCCCTCCTCCCGCTTCCATCCTCCTCCCCCTCCTCCCTCCTCCCTCCTCCCTCCTCCCTCCTCCCTCCTCCCTCCTCCCTCCTCCCTCCTCCCTCCTCCCTCCTCCCTCCTCCCTCCTCCCTCCTCCCTCCTCCCTCCTCCCTCCTCCCTCACAGCCTCCCTCTTCTCCCTCTCCTCCCTCACGGCCTTTTACCTCACAGCCTCCCTCTCCTCCCTCTGTCTTGCTAACTTATGAAGTGATTGCACAATAACAGCTCCTTACACAACTTTCCTCATGCGTGCACAGTTGCCACTGTGCTGCACATTATCATGCAGCATTTCAAAAAGGCTCAAGGCGAGAACGTAACGAGCAGTTGTCGATTCACCTTCCCCATTTCCCGCCCTTACCCACTCCCCTCCTCCCTGCCTCAGTTGCCACCGTGCTGCACCATTCCGTACAGTCTTTCAAAAAGACTCAAGACAAGAATCTATCATGCAACCTTTATGTCTCCCATCCCTCCCTCCCCGTTCGTCCCCCCACCCTCTCCTCCCCTATCAATCACTCCCAGTTGCCACTGTGCTGCACAATTTCGTGCAGTCTTTCAAGAAGTCTCAAGACGAGAACATCAAGAACGCCGAAGCAGAGATAAAGCGGATTGAGAAGGAGAAGAAAAAGGAGGCTGAGGAGAAAAAGAAGAAGGAATTGGAGGAGAAAAAAGCAGCTGAAAGGGCTGCGAAAGCAGAAAAGGAGAAAGCAGCACAGGAGGCGAAAGCAGCAAAGGAAAAGGAGGGAGGAGGGAAGGGAGGAGAGGGGGAGGGAGCGGAGGGGGGAGGGGATGGGAAGAAGGATGGGGAGAAGGATGGGGAGAAGGATGGGGATGGGAAGAAGGAGGAGGGGAAAAAGGGGCCGGTTAATATGCTTGCTGCTATTAAGAAGCGTCACGTGGCGAATGATGACGATGATGATGATAAGAAGGATGAGAAGAAGGACGATAAGAAGGATGAGAAAAAGGATGAGAAGAAGGATGAGAAAAAGGACGGTGGCGATGCAAAGAAGGATGAAAAGAAGGGTGGTGATGGGAAGGAGGGAGCGAAGGAGGGAGGGAAGGAGGAGGCAGGGAAGGAATCGGAGGTGAGTGAGGAAGATTCGAGTAGCGATGACGACGATAGTGATAGTGAGGAGGACGAGGAGGAGGGGTCAGGAGACAAGCCGGCAGAAGGGGCAGCAGCAGCAGGGGCAGCGGCAGCAGCAGCAGCAGGTGGTGCAAAAGAGGGAGAAGCAGCAGCAGCGGCGGCAGGGGAGGAAGGGGCGAAGGAGGGTGGAAAGAAAAAGGTGGTAAAGAAAGTGGTGAAGAAAGTTGTTAAGAAGAAAAAAGCGGCGGAAGGGGAGGGGGCGGCTGAAGGGGAAGCGGGTGAGGGGAAGAAGAAGAAGATTGTGAAGAAAAAGGTGGTGAAGAAAAAGGATGGGGCTGCTGGGGAGGGTGCGGATGGGGCGGAGGGAGGTGGAGAGAAGAAGACGGTTAAGAAGAAAGTTGTCAAGAAAAAGGCAGCAGCCGATGCGACTGCTTGAGTGGGCAGTTGGGGAGCAGCAGCTGCGGCAGCATCAAGAGTTGGGACGGAGAAGAAGGTGCTTGGAAGGGAGGTGGAGGGGGTGGGAACAGCAGCAGCAGCAGCAGCAGCAGCAGCAGCAGCAGCAGCAGCAGAAGTGGATGGGAGGAGGGAAGAGGGAGGGGAGAAGCGGATGTACTGCTTGTTTGGGTTTTTTAGGAGAAGAAGCGGGGGAAGCAGCAGCAGCAGCATACGAGGAGGGGGCTAAAAGGAAACGGCAAATGGAAGACAGCAGATTTAAGGGGCTTATAAAGCAGCAGGTTTCGCCCATTTGAGCAGAGCTCTTTACATCTCCTTCGATGACAGCATCACCTGGCGTGGCAGCACAGCCATAGAACTACAGTGGTGTGTGTTGCCTTCTCTTCGCACCTCTTTTGCTGCCTGCAGCAGTAAACAGACGAATTAATGCCATCGACAATTGCGAGCATTAGTACGGTTTGGTGGAGTCGAGATAGCTGTAATGCCAGGAGGCGCTACTGATAGCCGTGGCCTGTAGGCGTGGGATGCTGTGAGTTTGCCCAAACCTGGATTCGGGTGTCAGGCATTGGAGGCATCGGTAGGTGGCAGGCATTGGTGGCGGGGCTCTTGAAGAGGTGGCTGATGATACCGAATAGGCAATGGCAGCCACTGCCACGACGAGGACTCTGTTGCTAAGCTTGCTGTCAGGGGCAGTGGCAGCAGCAAGCGATGTGTAGCGACAGTTCAGCTCGTGCTCGGGATGCGTCAGCACGTGGTCAGAATGTGTCAGCATACGCTAGGCGGGCGTCAGCATATGCTTGGCATGTCCTCAGCATGCATTGGCATGTGCGCAATCACGCACCTGGTGAGTCTGTGTTGGCCAGAAACTTCCACTTTGTCCTCTCCCTTGCTCTCCCTCCATCCGTTGGCCCCCTCCCGTTGGCCCCCTCCCTTGCTGTCCCCCACGTCACCTCATCCCTTCTCTCCTGCCTGTCCATCGGCTGTTGGTTTTAGCAGCTGCAAGCTTTGTGTTGTCCCAGGGCGCTACCCTCCATCTATTTAGCTAAATGAGTCATTATTCCTCATCATTTCCCCTCACCCTCCTCATTCCCCTCCTGTTTCGCTCCACGTCTCCTTCCCATCTTTTGATGCAATTTCTTCCATCCTGTTGGAATGCAGTAACACAGCTCAACACGTCAAAACAACCCAACCTGTATTGTAGATATGGCCAATCATAAGATCCTCTGTTGTACAGTTTATTCTAACATTCCGGTATCAAGTAACAGCATCCTCCGACTGTGGGTGGTGGTAGTTAGAGCAGTTGGCACCAGTTGAAAATTGTTATCCTGTCTTGCGTTACCGGTACCGTATGTGTAGATGCTGCTGCTGCAAGCAGGGCCCAAATTTCAAGGGTATTTTACCCTTTTTGCCCTGCTCATAGGCCACTTTTTGACAGTTACCTTTTTCAAATCAGGGTATGCAGTTTTTTACCCTAGTGAAGTCAGAATACGCTTAAAAGTACTCTTGTAGGTTTTCCAGTTACACTGACTGTATCAGGGTAGGGGTTCAACTACCCTTTTACCGGAACTTTTCTGTAGCGCGGATTCCGCCACAGTCCGCGCCACGACGAAATGCTCCACGGTCCCACTTTTCTGCACGCACTGCCGCGCCAACGTACATTCGGGGCGGATGGCACCGCACACCTACGATTGGTCCGTTCAGCAACACTGAGGCCAACGCACCCAGTTTCCGTGCGTTACGCAACATCGCGCACCTCCAACGGAGCCACAGTGCGCGCCAGGTGGGGTACGTGCTGTCGTTTCCACTACTTGGCTGTCACATGCAGTTCCCTACCAGCGAGGGAACCTTGCTGTTTGAGGCTCCTTGGGCTTTGTGATTCCCGAGGGGTCTCTCTGATTCTCGCCATTCTCACGTTTCCCTCTCCGTTGTTGTTTCGAATGCCTGCCTCTGAGCCTGATCAGCCTGGTAGCACCAGGAACGGTCTCTCCGTTCTCGGTGTGTTACCTCAGCTGGCTGAGAACTATAGCGTCCCTATCTCTCAGCCTGCGCGTGAGCCGTCCCCTGAATGTCTTGTCGGCACCGTTATCCCGTGCGAACGTTCAGCATCGCCAAAGTCCCGGGAGCCACACCCGTCTCTCGAGCTTGTTCCCGATGGCGGCGAAGGCCCGTCGAAGCCAGCCACTGCAGCCCCGTCCACAATTAGCACCGCGCCCGTGAAGCGACAGCGTGTGGGCGTGACATACAAGCAGCAGAGGCTCTGGGGCGCCCCTCCTCCACGACAAGCGGCATCACCGCCACGCCGTGCTGCTCCTGCTGAGCCGAAGCCTCCAACCGCTTCTGCCGAAGCTGAGTATGAATTGGTAAAAATCACCTTCGATTCGCAATGGTCAAAGAAATTCAGCTGGCTGCGCTTGATGCGCATGACTAACGGCAGGCCGTCATTGAAATGTGCCATCTGCATCAAGCACGGGGATCCAAACGCGCACACTGCCTACGGCGTCAGAGGTGAGGGTGCGCGAGACATGCAGCTAGGGAGCATCCGCGCGCACACATCAAGCCGAGCTCACAAACAGGCCTTGGAAAACGAGGCCAAAGCAGACGCGGAAAAGGCCAAGCAAGCCACACTGACAAGGTGGCAGAGCACCGACGCAGCTACACGGCACATCATCCGCTGCCTCCACATCGTGCTATTCATCTGCAAGGCTGACGCGCCAATAGCCATGTTTGTTCCATTGTGCTGGTTTTTGGCTAGGGAAGGGTTGCCGGACCTTCCTCCGTCCGGAGGGTACGGCGCCTACTACACCGAGTAAGTGCCGTTTCTAGCGCTTGTCATTGTTCCGTGACTTCTGTTGACGAGATGCTAATGCTATTTCTGTGCGTGTCCCATGTGCTTTGTCCTCGCAGCTACGGTTTCAAAGAGATGCTGCGCGCCACCTCCACGTACCTTCAAGAGACTCAACGCGGCCACCTGCTGGACTCCCCATGGATCGGCATTTGTCTTGATGAGAGCACCGACCGGGTGAATGGCAAGCACCTGATTCTCTACGCGTCTTTCTTCAAAGGGACCGCACCGGTAACGGAGTTTTTAACACTGATAACCGTGGACCGTGCCGATGCGGCCTCGCTAACCTCCGCTGTTGTGCAGTACCTTACAGGAATCGGGGTAGATCTCCAGAGGATCTCCGGAGTATCTACGGACCGGGCCAGTGTGATGACCGGCAAGAACAACGGGGTCGTCGCGAGGCTGCGAGTGCGCATTCCTCACTTGGCGTCGACTCACTGTGTCGCTCACAGGTACGGTGGTTGCAGCGGTGTGTTTATAAACTAACCAGATCAACGAGTAATAACGACACTGAAATGTTCCACATGATTGCGCAGGGAGGCGTTGGCAGCTAAGGATGCCGCAGAGGCAGTCCCCGAGCTCGGCATGGTGGACGACGTGGTGCGTGCTTTCTCCGAGCACATCGGCCGCAGCAGCGTGGATTACACCAAGTTTCAGAATTTGCAGCGCGTCTACTGCCAGACGAATCTGGAGGCGCAGGGCATACACGACGTGCGCTGGCTCTCTCGGGGCGAGGCCATCCAGCGCTTCCTTGACGTTCTGCCTGCAGCGATCGTCGTGCTGAAGGACTACAAGAAGGACTTGTACGAGGTAGTCACCTCGTTCAAGTTTCACTGGATGATCCGCTTCCTCGCGGATGTCCTCTGGGAGCTCAACCAACTCAATCTGCGCTTTCAGCAACGTCAGGTAACACACAGTCTAGCGATTTTGTTGTTACACGCACGCCTGCAAAGCTCCCTCTGACCTTGTGTTTTGTACGTGTGCAGGTGGACGTCACCCTCGTGGCGCACCTTGTTCAACAGACGCGAATGCGCCTGAAGGCGCGCTACTTCGACAGGTCCCCTGGTCACTTTTTTGGCAGCGGAGAGAAGATGCAGCTGCCAGACTTCATCAGAGCTCACTAGAAGCAGGATCAGCGTCAAATGAAAGCGGAAGGCGTTGACGCGGATGGCAACGCCGTCTCCTTCGAATTCACCCTGCACGAACGCCCCCTGCCAGGCCACGAGACTGGAGGTGATGTGACAGCGTGCTTTGAGCTTTCGCTCAAATTCATCCGCAAAGTGGACGAGGAGCTCGAGTGGCGCATGCGCGGCCTCAACCACCTGGAAGGCGCCAAGTTGTTTCGCACGGCGTCGTATCTATCCGATGACACCAAGCGACTGGAGGCCTTCAGGAAGTGGCTTGGCCAGCTCCACAAGCTGTACAACCACAAGCTGCCTGGTAAGCGTGCTGTCCGATGTGTCGGGTAGCTGAAATTGACATGCCGGCAACATCTTTGCACCTCCTTGTTTCCCATTGCGCTTCTTGCTGCTCATCACCCTGCGCAGTATTGTTGGATTAATGCCTCCCACTCCTACCCCTATGTCTTAGCATGTGCCAAATATCAACCCCATCCACACTACCAGGGTTCGACTACAAGCGTGCCGGCCAGGAGCTCTGGATGTTTACCTCGACCATGTTCTCCCAGCACAACGGCGAGGAGTTTCATCAGGCGCTGGGCAACATGCTGCGTGACGAGGCGTGGCGTGCTTCGTTTCCCAACATCGTCCGGATGTGGCAGTCTGTCGCCGTGCTACCACTGAGCACGGTTGAATGTGAGCGCGGCTTCAGCAAGCAGAACCTGATCAAGACGTGGGACCGCGGCAGCCTCGGCGACACAAGCCTTGAGCACCTGATGCGGTGCTCCCTCCTTCAGTACGACGTAGACTGGTACGAGGTAGTCGCCATATTCCGCGGTGAGAAGCTCAGGCGTTCAACGAAGGACTTCTCCGGCATGCAGGCCAGCAGTGCGCAATTTGCAGACGAGGCAGTTGCTAGTGCAGCAGACGTTGGTTGACAAGTGGCTGTAGGATGGTATTTTTAACTAGATAGTAAAGCTTGTGTGCAGAACACTTTACTGATAAGTAAATGTTGGTGTAGTAGAAATTCGTGCGTAGGAAGGAAACAGTGTACGAGATACATTACCCTGCTGAAATCAGTGTATCTTAACTTTTAGGCTGCTACAATCAGTGTACGAGAAAAATTACCCTAACAGTCAGGGTACGGAGGGCCTGCCACCCTGATTTGAAAGAGTGAGCTAAAACCTATTTTGGGCCCTGGCTGCAAGTTTCCTGTGTTTTGAAGCAGACACTTGTTACAGCCGAAGACACTTGCTCATTGTTCACAAAAAATGCTCTGCTCATATCCATTTCCCCTGGTAAAAATGTTTATTTTGCATTTGTGATCATCATCCTTGTAAAGTCATCGCCCGGATATAAGCCATATATGTCTTATCTCGTACACCGGCAAAAATTCTTGTGTTATCTTGTATTTGGGGCGGTTGAGGGTGTCTCAGTCATAAATGGACAAAGAACCGTTTAGAAGATACCCCCTCGCTATACAATTACCCCTAATCCCTACACTGCCTTAACTAGTACACACAAATAGGTGTCTTATAATGAGGCTAGCCTGTTTATAAGACACCCGGATAATAGAAGATGATAAGCGGTCTGCTCCGATCTGCTCCAGTCTGCTTATCAGGGCAATAACCTAGTTCCTGTACAGAAGACCTTTGTAAGCGTATAAGTTGACTATTGTGCTGCCTGCGCTGCTACGTGTGGCAGAGGCTGTGCCTGCTGCAGCGCAGCACCAGCAGCCCTGATAGCAGGTTGCAGTGACTCCCACGAGTGTGCGGACTGCCGCATGATGCGAACCTGGACGGCCCGGAAGTCCCGGAACATGCGGTCGAAATCCGCTGCCATCTCCACGTGGCACCTCTGCAGCTCGCCAGCTAGGCGCTGCGCCACATCAGCGTGCTCCTTCTTGGCATCTTCCAGCTTGCGACTCACCTGGGGATACAAGAATAGTGGAGAAATCAAATCCACACTCGACGTGAGCATTTGACACATGCACACATGCAGACACAAGCACAAAGACACGCACACAGAAACACATACACACGCATGCCTACATGCATGCATGCATGCATGCCGCATACACCGCACGCTTGCATGAACACAATGGCATGCATGTATACACACGTACATCCCGGACAGGGCGGTCGTCGGACAAAGCTACAAATATCCCCACAACGCCCCAACTGAACTCAATTCCACGGTCTCCTTCTCAAATCCTCTCCATATTTGAGGCCACTCAGATTAATGAACCTTACAGGCGCCTCAAAAAGTTCACTCACATCCACTATCTCCTTCTCGATTTCCTCGATCTTCTCCTGCTTCATCGACGTTGCTTGAGCTCGGTGCCTGCAGGGAGAACATGCAACAGCTATATGAATTTCAAGTTGACTTCAGGGTTTCTTTGAGAATTCTCAAAAATACCAAGAACATGCAACAGCTATATGAATTTCAAGTTGACTTCAGGGATTTTTTTAGAATTCTCAAAGATACCAAGAACATGCAACAGCTTTACGAAATTCAAGTTGACTCCAGGGAATTTTTTAGAATTCTCAAAAATACCAAGAACATGCAACAGCTATATGAGTTTCAAGTTGACTTCAAGGCAAACAAAAAGAAAATCCGGACTTGCAGTCTCCTCTTGTTGACTGGGCCAGGCAACAATCTCTTAGCTGTAACCCCTTCACGCCCACACCTTCTTCTCCACGCTCACAATTTCCCCTCCCACACTCACAGCTTGCCCTTCTTGGCCTTGAGATCTGCCTCTAGCTGGTTCAGGTTGTGCCACTTACCTAAAAACCCCTCCATGCTCACAACTTGCCTATCAAACTCACCTATCAAACCATTCACTCACAGATTTCCCTTCCCATTCGCAGCCTTCCCTCCCACACTCACAGCTTGCCCTTCTTGGCCTTGAGATCCGCCTCTAGCTGATTCAGATTCCGCCATGCGAGGGAACGGTCTGAAATGGCTTTCTGCAGACGGGGAGATGGGGGGGGGGAGGGTGAGATGGGCAGATGGGGGGATGCGGATTTGGGGCCAGATTACGGATGACCAAAGTAGAAAAGAGGAACTGCTTTGCCCGTGCAACTGAACAGGGAAACACAAAATACGGAACAGGGAAACAGGGAAAGAACTACGGCAGCAAGATCATCTCAGAAACGATTAGCAGCACTGACCTTTAATGACGTGACAAATCGGACATACTCCTTAAGAGGTTCTTCAAGGTTCTCTAGAAACACTTGTGCCTGCACACACGAGCATATTTCAAAGCAATACAGAGGCAATCACTAGTGGCTGACTGTGATAGCTGCTACCCAGAAGGACAGCCACTGTTGCAATTTGTCTCAAAACGTCGGCTGCTTCTGAGACGTCTCAAAAAGGAATCACTTGTGGCTGACCTTGATAGCTCCTACCCAGAAGGACAGCCACTGTTGCAATTTGTCCGTTGGTCCTGAAAGCCGACATTTAAAGTCGACTAGAAACTTGTCTGTTTGAGTTTTGTAGCTATGCAATATCCCTATGTACGAACAACGCATAACACGAGATATGACCGTCATCACGGTATGCATAGCAACAGCAACGCCAGCCACTCACGTTGTTCCGTGTGGCAGAGCCCACAATATCCGCGCATGTATGTTACAGTGCCATGCACAACACAGAAACTGCCATTTACGCCATGCATAACAGTAGCACCACACCAACACTACTACTCACTCACGTTGTTCCGCGTGGCAGAGCCAACAATATCCGCCTTATTGCCAACCTCGCTAAAGCACTTCCCCAGGGGCCCCTCCTCCCACTGCCCCAGTGACTGCAGCGCCACTCCAAACTCGCACATGGATGCCCCTAGCTCTGCGCACATGTGGTGGAGAGGGAAGGGGAGGGGGGAAAATAAAAAGAAGGGCTATATACGCACCTCCGCAACGTCTTCCCACCATTTTTGAGGCGCCTAAAAATATCACAGCACTCAGTTCTTGACAATTTGCCGACATCAAATGACAGGCATATCTACTCTTCCCTGCATCGAACTCGCCATCTCACCCCTCTGCTCCTTCTCCTCACTCCTCACACCTCACCCCTCACACCCTCCCCCACCCACCCACCTCGCTGCTTCTTCACGAACTGCAGAGCGTCGCTATGGCAGTTGGAGAGAGCCTTCTCAAGGGCCTCAACGGACCGCAGTCACCAGGGGTAAGCTTATCGCAAACTCTTTGCCTCCTCGCCCTCCTCCTGCCCGCCCTTCCCCACCCACCTCGTTGCTTCTTCACGAACTGCAGAGCGTCGCTATGGCAGTCTGAAAGCGCCTTCTCAAGGGCGTCAGAGTACCGCATCACTCGCTCCATCTCCGCCTCTGCCTCCTCTGCACTGCACCGCACACCAGCATGCCCTGCCTGCATACACACCCACCTCGTTGTTTCTTCACGAACTGAAGCGCGTCCCGATGGCAGTCCGAAAGAGCCTTCTCCAGCGCGTCAGCATTCCGCCTCACCCGCTCCGTCTCCGCCTCCTCACTTGCACACTCCCTGCTTCACCCCACTTACCCGCTCACCTCTTTGCTATTTCACTCCGCACTGCAATTCTCCTCACCTCGTTGCTTCTTCACAAACTGCAGTGCGTCCCGATGGCAGTCCGAAAGAGCCTTCTCAAGGGCGTCAGCGTACAGCCTCATCCACTCCGTCTCCGCCTCCTCCGCCGCCTCCTCCCTGCTTGACCCATCGTACCTACTCACCTCACCTCTCTGCTACCCGACTCACCTCGCTGCTTCTTCACGAACTGCAGTGCGTCCCGATGGCAGTCCGAAAGAGCCTTCTCAAGGGCGTCAGCATACCGCCTCACCCGCTCCGTCTCCGCCTCCTCTGCAGCCTCCTCCCTCCCCAGCACAGCACTCGCCAGGGTGGTCTGCACGCTGGAGAAGAGGCTCAGGAAGTCGCTGGGCTTGGCCCCCAAGAGCTTGGATTCTGATGTCTTGCGCATCTCCATGGTCTGGAGGGGGAGGAATGGGAGAGGAGATGGGAAGGACAGGGTGAGTGCGCCACCTCTTCTCTCCCCAGCCCAGCCCAGTCCAACCCAGCACAGCACTCGCCAGGCTGCTCTGCACGCTGGAGAAGAGGCTCAGGAAGTCGCTGGGCTTGGCTCCCAGCAGCTTCGACTCGGACGTCTTGCGCGTCTGGCGAGAGAGGAGAGCGAGGGGAGCGGATGGCAAGGGGAAGGGTGAGAGCGTGGTGGTGGTCTGTACGCTGTAGAAGAGGCTTGAGAAGTCGCTGGGCTTGGTTTGGCCCCAGTAGCTTCGATCGACTGCAACCAAATTCCCCCCTCACGCCCACACACCCATCGGCCCTTGCTGCCCTTGAGGAAGTGCTGCAGCTCATCTGCTCCGCACCGCATGGGGTGCCGTGCCACAATCCCACAAACAATCCCACAATCAACCCCCCCCCCTCCCCCCCCTCCCCCTTCAGACCCACCCATCGGTCCTCGCTATCTTTGAGGAAGTGCTGCAGCTCCTCCGCCCCGCCCAGCACGGGGTGCCGTACCACACGCCTCACAAACGTCTCCGGCCCCCTCTGATCACTCACTCACCAATCCACCTGCTGCCTCACTCAAATCCAGACCCACCCATCGGTCCTCGCTGTCTTTGAGGAAGTGCTGCAGCTCCTCCGCCCCGCCCAGCACGGGGTGCCGTGCCACGCGCCTCACAAACGTCTCCAGACCCCTCCGCCTGCTCTCCACAAACTCCCGGCTGAACCGAAACTTCTCTGCACGAAAGCGACAGGAGGAAACAGAGGGGGAGACGGGGAGGAGGAGGAGGAGGGGGGGAGATGGAGGAGGGGGAGCAGCAGGGAAGAGCGCGGTAAGATAAGTTGAGTCGAGTCGTTTGTGGGCAGTGGATTGAAGAGGGTTGGGGCGGGGTGGCTTGGAGTGGGCATGCGCTCTGCCTGTTGTCCACACCCACCCACTTTGGAGAATTCTCAAAAGTCACCCCACCAATGTGCTGCACCCGCACCGCACAAACGTCTTCAGCCCCCTCTAGGCTCGGCACAAACGCCTGCTCTCCACAAACTCTCGGCTGAACCGAAACTTCCACACCATACCGCACCGCACCACACCACACAACGCCCCACCCCTAATTCGCAACACCTAGATTGCCTGCCAATACCCCAACAGCAGCAGCTCAAGTTGACTTGAGTTGACTTGACTCACCCACGACGTTTTTATCAGGTAGAGGCGGCACGATAGCTCCCCTGTACATATCCCCCAGACAGTCGTGCAGCCACTCGAACTCGGAGAACAGATAGAGCTTACCAGCACATTACACCACACCGCACCTCACTGCACAGGATCACACCCCACCCCAACCCCACCACCACCAACAACCTGACTCACCCACAACGTTTTTATCAGGTAGAGGCGGCACGATGGCTCCTCTGTACAGGTCTCCCAGACGGTCGTAGTGCAGCCACTCGAAGTCGGAGAACAGAGAGGGCTTACCACCACACCACACCACACCGCACTGCACTGCACAGCATCACACCCCAGCCCAGCCCACCCCGCCAACGCTCAAGCCATCAGAAGCAAATTGACACACCCACGACGTTTTTATCAGGTAGGGGTGGCACGATGGCTCCTCTGTACAGATCGCCTAAACGGTCGTGCAGCCACTCGAAGTCGGAGAACCGGCGAATCACGTACACCTCGCCATCCGACGCAGGCGACTAGGGTTACCCGTTTCGTAGAGAATTCCACCCCCCAGTTGCATTCGGAAGGGGGAGGGGGAGGGGGAGGGGGAGGGAGAGGAGGCGATGAGTTACAAATCATCCCGTTGCGCAAATACTTAGTACTTACGAATGAAAACCCGGGAACGTCTAACAGGAAAGAATGATAGACTGGAGAAGAACGGAACGGAATCCGCGAAACGAGCAACCCAGCATCTCGTACCTTGGTGGTGACTCGATAAGACGTGTACGCGTTAACGCCATCGCCCTGCTTAACGGGATCCGTGACGGTTATTTCTAACGGCCCTCCGTCCGTTCCACCCCCGCCTGACCGATAACCCGCTCCCATCGCTGCTGCTCCGCCATCCATGATAGATTCGGTTTGTATCTGAGATGGGTCGTGATTGAAATCTTTTGAGAATCACTACAATCTTATTGCGACAGAGACGTTCGCGGGTCGTATTTGAGAGAGCTCGAATCGAATCCACTAGAGCTAGAATGTCAGTGTCAACGATTCCTGGCTTTGAGTTTTGGCGTCCAAGCAAACGTCGCCAATCTAGTAGTGCCAGGATCAAGGAGGATTCCTGAGCCGCAACTTTTTCTTAGTGTGCAAGCGTAGTCCAGTCACAGACCTTCACGAAACAGACTAGATGGCGAACAGCCCAGTCACGGGTTGGCAAGCGTACTTGGATTTATCAGCAACTCATTCCGAGAATGGCGATGTGGAATGAGTTGCTGATAAATCCAGGTACGCTTCAAGGCAGAATTGAAAGACGGTACAGCTGATGCTCACCCCATGCACGCGAATTTGCCTTGCGCCGGATGGATACGCTGCACCCGAGGTTGTTTCCCCAGCTTCATGCACCTACATTACAAGCGCGTCGCGTGGTTATCAACCAGTAGTAACGAACAGACCGACGTCAAACTAGGTACAGACCGAAGTCAAGCAGAGGAGACTGAAGTCAAACTAGGTTACAGATCTTGTTTATAAGCACATGCGAATCATTTTTAGCTAGCTGCGAATTGCCGAAACTTATGCGAAATGCTCGTGACAGCTTATACGCCCCCTTCGTAAGGCAACCGGGAGGGGCTCAAATAGGCATCAGGTGTAGTTTCAAGGCAAACCAGCGAATCCGGTCTGCTTCGTTGTACGCTTCAGCCCCCAACGGGACAGAGTGTAAGTATAATGTTACATGAGACGAACATTAATAATAAATATCTCATACAGAGAAAAAAACCCCTATCCAGAGATGTCATAGCAAAGTGTTTAACACTCAAAAACAACTCAACCCCGGAAATGAGGATAATTCAGGACAGATGTATTTGACCCAAATATATTAGAATGCATCCCCACCATCACTCCTGCCATGCCACCCCTACTGCCCCATCAGCTGTTTCAGCCGCTCCGGTCGGCCTTTGCCTCCCGCTGCTTCCGCTGCTTTTCGCAGCTGCTGCAGCTGCAGCTGCAATGTCCATCTGACCCTTTTCCTCCGGCCACTCTAGCTGTTGCTTCTTCGTCTGCTTCATCCCTAACTGTCACCCCCCGCCCCGCTCAATCCCAGCAGCTGTCTCTGCCGCTCCACCTCTGCCTCTAACTGTCTCTGCTGCTCCTCCAGCTGTTGCAGCTGCAGCTGCAGCAATCGCTTCTCCTTCTCCACCTTCTCCAACTTCTCCAGCTCCCCTTCTGCCTGCTCATTCCTCCCCTCCTCCTCCGCCTCCTCACTATCAGTGCCTGCATCAATCAAGAGCGTTCGCACACCTTTCCCGTCCTTGCCCCCTGCTCGCCTCGAGCCACCCTCCTCCGTTGGCCGATTTTTTCCCTCAGAAATCCCGTTCCTGCTCTCATTCAGAACCAGTTCATCCATCCCAGAAGCACCAACCTCACACACCTCCTCTCCACTTCCACTCCCCTTCCTCCGCCTCCTCTCTCCCCTCTTCCTCCCCTCTCCATCTCCCTCATTCATTGTCTTAGTTCGTGACCAAGATCGCCCCATTTTCCCTCCCTCTCTCCCGTTTCCCCCTTCCAATTCCTCCTCTCCTCTGCTGTCCTTCCTCCTCCTCTCCTCTCTTCTACTCCCCTCCCCATCCCCCTCATTCATCGTCTTAGTTCGGGACCACGACCGCCCAAACTCCCCACCCTCTCTCCCCTTTCCCCCTTCCAGTTCCTCCTCTCCCCGACCACTGCCCTTCCTCCTTCTCTCCTCCCTCTTCCTCGCCTGCACATCTCCTTCATTTATCGTCTTAGTTCGAGACCACGACCGCCCGAACTCCCCACCCTCTCCCCCCTTTCCCCCTTCCTCCTCCTCCCCTCCCCCCTCCTCCTTCCGCCGCTTCTCCTCCTTCCTCTTCCGCTCCTCCCCATCCCTCTCGTTCATCGTTTTGGTTCGAGACCACAGCGCACGAACGTCAGGCGCGAATCGGAAGCTGCTCAGCCCCCCAAAGAAAGACCCTTCGCGGATGCTTCTGGGAGACTTGCAAGGCAGCCCATCAGAAGTAGCAGAAGTGAAAGAATCAGCATGCAAATCCGTGCTACTATCAGCAAACACACGTGTTGCCTTTAGAGGAACCTCGGCCTTCTCCCTCCTCCCACTGCCTTTGCTCCCACCCTTCTTCCCCCCCTCCTTCTCCTTCTTCTCTTTAACCTTATCCTCCTTCCCTCTCCTCTTCCTCTCCCCGTCCCTCTCCCCTTCATCCTCCGTCTTCCCACCATCCACCCCCAACCTACTTTTCCGGTTACTCCCAACCTCCTTTCTAGCCGAACCAGTCTCTGCTGCACCTGCCTTCCTCCCACTCCCTTTTCTCCCACTCCCTCTTCTCCCACTCCCTCCTATCCTACTCCCGTCTGTCTCATCTAAACCGATCCTTCTCACATCCTCACCCAGAGAATCCACCTTCCTATGCTTCTCACGCTCCTTCCTGCGCTCCTTCGCGCTCTCCTTCGCACACTCCTCCTCCTCATCCGTATCATCATCCTCCAGCCTTCGCTGCAGCTTACTCACTTTGCGCCCCTCCTTCGGACTCTTCTCCTTCTCCTCCTTCTCCTCCTTCACTCCCTTCGCCTCCTCCTCCCCCTCCATATCCTCCCCCTGCTTCGTCTCCTTCCCTTCCACCTTGTCCTTCTCCCCCCCCTCCTCGCCCTCCTCCTCCTCCTTTGCCTGCTGCTCCTCCTGCTCCAGATCACCACTGCTCTTGGACCTTCTATCTCGCTCCCAATCCCCACTCCCTTTCGACCTCCTTTCCCTGTCCGTATCCCTGCTCCCTTTCTTTCTCCACCTCTCCCCCTCCTTCCTCTCTCGCTGCCCCTCACACTCAGAATCCCCCCTCTCATCCCCATCCAAAGCACCCAATGATCCGACCCGTTTAAACGGGCCATCCGGCCCTGCTTTGGCGTTTTGAGACGGTGAATTCTGAGACAATGGAGAAGTTTCAACAGAGGATTGACTCTTCCCGGCCCTCCTCCCTCCCTTGGGAGTGCTGGCACGGCTCCTTGACTTACCACCACCCGCCCTTCTCAAGCTGCCCACCTCTTTCTCCTCGTCGCTATCATCTATCCTCCTCTGCAGCCTTCCTGAAGCCCTACCCTCACGCCTGTCACCCTTTTGAGTCAACTCAGATTGTTCCTTTTCCTCATCGCAACCACAATCACCATCATCATCCATCCTCCTCTGCAGCCTTCCTGAAGCCTTACCCTCACGCCTATCCCCCTCGTAAGACCCAGCGATCCTCCCCTTCCTTCCCTCACCAGCAACCGGCCCCTCATTCCCTTCCCCCTCCTCCTCCCCCTCCTTTCGCGTACTGCATTTACCCCCACCGCACTCAACCTCACTTCTGCCACCACCCGTCTCCCCCTTTTCGCCCTCGTCCCCACGCCCTCTAATCACATCATCCTCCTCCTCCTCCATCTTCCTCTCCAGCCTTCCCCCTTCTCTCTTGTTCCCTTGCCTGCCCGCACCAACAGGTGAAACTTCTTTCCCCTCAGCCGTGGGCGAACCTGCTTTTCCTGAACCTGTGAACGAACCAGACTTCCTTACCTCCCTGCCCTTCTCCTCTTTCCCGTTCACGCGCCTCCCCTCCCTTTTCCTCGCACCGTCCTCCTCCTTCTCTTCCTCACTGTCATCTTCTAAGCTCCTCTGCAGCTTGCCGCCTTTCTTGCCTCCCTTAGCAGGAACAACAGGCACTGACACGCTAGCATCAAAACCTCCCTTGTTACCCGTCTTCGCCCTTCCACCCTCCTCATCCTCGTCTTCATCCATCTGTCTCTGCAGCCTCCCACCTTTCTTGCCCACCTTCGGCCTCACACCTTCCTCCCCTTCTTCCTCATCATCATCCATCTGTCTCTGCAGCCTTCCTCCTTTCTTACCCGCCTTAGCCTTTACACCCTCCCCTTCATCCTCCTCCTCCTCCTCATCATCCATCTGCCTCTGCAGCCTCCCCTTAGGAGTCATTGGTGCCGCCACACCCCCCCGCTTACCAACACCAGAGCCCGACCTTTCCCAATCACCCGCCCCTGCTCCTCTCCCCATCGCCCTCTCCCCGTCCCCCTCCTCTTCATCCTCACTCATCTGCCGCTGCAGCCTCCCCCCAGGAGTCATAGCACCTCTCACAGCAGCGCCAGTTAATGATGCAGCGCCTGCTTTCCTGCCAGGCGGCACCAGCTGCAGCTGGGGTTCTTCCTGTAACACCAGTGGTGGTAGGTTCAACGGTGCCACTCTCCCTGATCCTCCTAATCCTCCTTTCCCTCCCGCTCCACCCACTCCTCCCCCTGCTCCTGCTACCCCTCCTCCTGCTCCTCCTCCGGCTGCTCCCGCGCCTTTTCCTCCCCATGCTCCTGTCGAGCTTCGTTGGACTGTTGGATTCTTGGGCTGCTGCTGCTGCTGCTGCGGCTGAGGCCCTCTGGATGGCTGAGATGCTTTGAACGACTGTGCTGCGAGGCCTTTCAACGGCTGCGATGCGGTGGGTGTTTTGGGCGGAACAAGCCCCGTAGTTGCTGCTCTGGAAAACGTGTTTGCGCGCGCAGGAAACGCAGCACCAGCACCAGCACCAGAGCCAGCAGAAGCAGAAGCACCAGCATCAGGAGCAGAAGCAACCCCAGCGCCTGAAGCAGCAGCAGCAGCAGCGGCAGCGGCAGCAGCAGCAGCAGCGGCGGGTACCCAGGGGGAATAAGCAGGAGAACCTTTTGCAAAGGTTGGTGCCTTGGGTGTTCTCGGAGGGACAGCATTGCTGACGCTGGCGCCTTTGCTGTTGCTGCTGCCGGTGCTGCCGACATTGCTGCTGCTATTGCTGTTACTGGCACCACCACTACTTTGTGCGGGGCGATTCATGGTGAATATCCTACCCAAGGAAGCACCTTTTGGAGTCTTAGGCGCAGCACCGCTTCCCCCTGATCCCCCATCTCCGCCTTCCCCTTCCCGCCTTCCCGTCCCTCCCCCTGCTTCCCCTCCCTCCCCTTCCTTCTCCTCCTCCTCCTCCTGCGCTTTCAGCAGCGCCTGCTGCTCCTTCCACCTCTCCGTCTGCTTCTCAAACGCCCCTAGCGCCTTGGCTACGGAAGCAAGGGAGTTGAGCCGCTTACTGGCGCCAACCCTACGCACAGATTGCCCTAGACTTCCCCTCCCTCCTCCGTTCGCTATACTGCTTCCCTCTCCACCAGCCGCTGCTGCCGCCGCCGCTGCTGCTGCTGACGTTGCAGCCACCGCCGCAGCAGCTGCTGTTGCTGCGTCTCCTGCTGCTCCTCGGCCCCTCCCCTTCCCCCTGTCCATACTCATTTGAGGCTGCCCCAGCATTGGTTTAGACCCAGCGGCCGCTGCGTGGTTAAAGCTCTTCTGAGGGGCGAAATTCGGGATGTTCCGTCGGCTGGCTTGCTGGTGGAGGGGTGGCACTGACAATGGCGGTTGCTGCTGCTGCTGATGTTGCGGCTGCTGCTGCTGATGCTGATACTGCTGTTGCTGTTGCTGCTTTGGAGCGAAAGAGCCGATACGAACAGCAGCACCAGCAGAAGCAGAAGCAGTCACTGAATTCGGCCTAGTACCCACACCCTCCATGCATCTTCGACTCTCCCCTCCTCTGTTCGCGCCCTCCCCTCCCCTGTTTACCCCTGCTGGGTATACCATCACCGGAACAGCACTGTCGCCGCTGCTGCTTCTGCTACACTGCACAATCACCCCGCTCCCACGAAAACTATCAGAATTGCCGTATCCAGCTGTAGCCGCAGCAGCACGACCAGCCGGTCCTACACTCCCCGCAGCATTCCCGCCGACTGTAGCAGCCGCTACAGCCATGCCAGGCCCCCCAGCCGGCATCACGTCAGAGAGGTCTGACACTGTGCGGCGGTGCACGCGTTGCTTCGCGGCGCCAACAGGGGGAGGTGATATCCAGGGCCCTACACCAGCTCCAGGACGCTGGCCCCAGGTGACGGCTGGGGGGAGGGCGCTCCTAGGGGAGGCGGTACCCAGTCTGCTGCATCCGCTCCTGCTACTCCCCCACCCGCTACAGCCCCTGTGAATCGGCCGCTCGCACTCCTCTCCGCACCATAGTTTACAGCATTGGCGGCGGCGGCGGCGGCGGTGGCAGCGATGGCAGCGGCGGCGGAGGGCGTTGGTGCGTGTGCGTGAGGTCTGTAGTGGGGCGGCGGGTTGGGGGACCTTTGCAGGTCGCAGGGGCTTGCTGCGGCGGCGTGATTAGATGTCATGATGACGTCAGAGACGTCGGAGCACGTGCGGCGATGGCTTCGGCCGCGCTGCTGCTGCGGCTGATGCTGATGCTGGTGGTGGTGCTGATACTGCTGGTGGTGATGATGATGATGCTGCTGCTGCTGATGCTGCTGCTGCTGCAGCTGGTGCTGCTGCTCCTGCTGTTGGTGCCATAACTGCTGTTCATGCTGCTGTTGTTCCCATAGCTGCTGCTGGCGCTGCTGCGTCTGATACAGCTCATCCTGCTGTTGCGCCTGATAACCTTCGGTCATCCACGCACCGTTGATTTGCTGATCATGCATTGGCTGCTGCTCCTGACAAAACAAACCCTGCCCTGGGACCTGAACCTGACCACCAACCTGAGAGTGCGGACTGTACCGATGCTCCTTATAACGAGGATCCCCATGATGCCCGTGGTGCTGCGCGACAACTCCCGTAGACTCCGCTCCGCGCGCGTACGGCGGAGGCGCCATTTGCTGCTGCAGGCGGCCTCGCGCTGTGTGGCACGCGCGTAGCTCTGCGGCGCGAGGGAAAGGGGGAGAGGGGGAGGGGAAGGGGGGATGCGAGAACTTTAAAGACGTCTCAAGAGGCGCTATGTGTCCGTTGGAGGCCTCCCGCTGTGTGGCACGCCCGTATCTCTCTGCGGCGCATGGGACAGAGGGGGGATGGTGCGGCATGGCGAGGGTGAGGTTAGGTATGGCGAGGAATCTCCGGATTCGGTTCGGAATGACGAGGTTCGGAATGGTGAGGTGGGACAAGATGACGGGGAGGAATGGGAGCTTCCAAACCGCAGAAACGGCAAGAGAGAGCAGACGTAGAGAAATTCGTAAGCGCAGTCGGAATAGAAACGGGCCAAATTCTTGTGAAGCTGGAAGGTGCAAACAGAAATCCTAAATAAGGATAGAAGCGGTCGGGCCAAAAGCGTTCTGCGTTCCCCCATGCATCTATCCTTTTGGCTATCGCGAGTTGCCAGATGGTTCGCAACAAGCATTGAATGAATCGCTGCTGCAGCTGCTCGCAATGGTCTGCTCGATGCGCGTTCTTTTTGTAAATCAATCTGTTGTATGCGGCACGAATCAACCAGATCTGTTGGAGCCGTTTCGGAGCGAATTTTGAGACGTCTCGGATCGCGCTCTACTGGAAGCACATCGCGGCCCATAAGGGTTCAGAGAATGATCGAAACTTGAGACATCCCAAGTAAAAGGTGAGGGGATTGGACAGGCTATGGCTCGGTTGCAGCTACCCTCAAGTAAAACTTCGGTACAAAGACTACATGATTTACGGATGTCAAGATCCATATTTCCAGCTGACTCATAGCTACTGATGATTAGGAATCTATACGCGTTACTAACTCACCAGGATACAGGTCATCGTCGTTGTCCCCCTCATCGCCTGCCGCATTGCCGGCGCCCATCGTCCCCGACAAGCCCCGCTCGGCCGACTGTTCCGAAGATGTCGTGCGCGAAACGTGAAGCAACGGGAGGGTCTTCGCCCGATTTAAGCACAGATCCGCCTCGTCCTCTTCTGTCTCCTGCTCGTTGCCCTCAACTTCTTCCTCCTCTTCTTCATCCCACTCCTCCTCCTCTTCCCCCTCTTCCTCCTCGCCTTCCTCCTCATCCTCCCCTCCTTCGCCCATCGCCGCTCTCCAACGGCCGCCCGCCGCATCCTGCATGGCGAAATGATCTGCGACGCCGTCCCACTGCTGCGACGTTCCCTCTGCGACAAAGGCCCCCTCTGGCGCATCCTGGAAAGCCGCTCCCGCTACGTGAGCGCCTGACACGCCGCTGCCGATACGCGCCGCCAAAGCGTCGTCGTCCCTCGAATCGCAGCCCAGGCGCGCGTCGAATGATCCGCCGGAGGAGCGACTGGGCCTGGCTTTGCGGGTGGTAGTCGCCGCTCTTCCCGCCGCAAAGTTCGTCGGCTCGGGTTCAAAATCTTCAACGCTGCGTCTCGAGGGAGTCGCGAGCGCGGGCGTGGTCGCGGAGCGGTTGAGCGCGCCGACGCCCTCATACGGCGCTTCCGCGTGGAGCGGAGGGAGTGACGACGCGCCGTCGTCGTAATCGTCGTCGTCGCCGACTGGAATCGCCCACGCAGTTCCGTCGCCGGTTTCGCCGAAATGCGACACACTAGGGCCCCGCGTGCCGGTCCCGCCGGGGGGGTTCGTCCCCTCGTACGTTTCCGCCCAGAGGTCGCAAGAGTGCGCCAACTCCCACGGATCCGAGTCCGTTTGAGGATTCTGAGACGGTACTGCTGCTAGATACCTACCGCTTCCGCCTATCCCGTCGCCACGACCGATCCCGCCGATCCCGCTGTTCACGCCGTACTGATCGAAGCTGTTTTGCTGCGAATACGGCGGCGGCGTGCTTGAGAAGTGGCCTCGCTGGGTGCCATCACGTCGAGGCGCGGGTTGGTCGGGAACGAACTCCAGCGCATGATGCGGCGACTTTTGCGGAGGATGCCATGCGTCTGCAGTCGCGCCTAAGACAGCACCGCCGCGCCGCGACATCGAAGAGCTTTTGTCTGACGAAATAGTCCGAAAAGGTTGTTCAGAGTCCAAGGTAGCAATCCTACTAGCGTCGGTCAAGGTACAGAGATTCTCCTGAGATCCCGCTGCTACGAGCGGACTAAGCGGGGAATCCGGCGATTCGACAAAATCCCACTGCCACGGTTGGGTTGCTGCTTTGGAAATGCTAGACTTGCCCGAGGGATATGATTTTACAATATGTACTGAGGTTCCGGTATCGAGGCGATGCTGGTGGAAGGACGGTGCCGCAGACTTACCACGGCTCGTCATTAGTAGTGTGCAAGAGTAAGAAGAGGCAGCTAGTGCTCCAGCTGTTATGACGTCCTAGGACAGAATCATATGGTGGCGTCGGTTGCAATGCCGCTGTATCGCACACGTATTATACTTCTTGAAGGTAGTTAGACATTCAAGATGATCAGCTCTTACGCGGCGAGCTTACGACATGGCAGGAAAGCGCGTTTCCGATTGCACCTGCGTAGGCCTGCTTCATCCAACAGCACTCGACTGTGGTGTCTTGCGAAAACAACAGCTGTACATGACCCGCAAACATGGAGACGGGAGGGGAAGTACTACAGAGCAGCTGTTCTGCCAGCAGCTCACCTTGCTCGAAAGCGTGTCCCTCGGTGCGACGGAGGACGAAGTTGACGAAGTTCTCGAGGCGAGGCGACGGAGATCTCGAGGCGCTGAAGCTCTCGAGGCAACGAGGCTCTCAAGGCGACGCAGATCTCGACGCGATTACAGTATTATTATTTTTGGCAATGTTCTCGGTCATGTGTAGTTGTCTGTGGCCTTTTCGACGGACGGGCTGCTTGTGCTCTCTTGGAAAATTTCGTGTCATTTTGGAGAACGAAAAATTCCTCATGTGACAGATCCCCACACCCGAACCGTGCTTTGTCTTTCTGAGTCTTGAACTGTATGCGAGGTATCTGCCTAACACGACATATTAGCCCACAGGCAATCCAATTGTCTCATTTTCACACGGTTTTACCTGTGATATTTGACAAACTAGGGTACCTGTGGGTGTTTGCCAAGAATAGACCTGGCTCGACATAATGATCGCTTATATTCATTTTTATGGCTGTAATTCCAGGTCTCACAAATGTTCCACCCAAGCTTGGGACTGTGAGGATGGCCATGTCTGACTTAGAAAATGGTTCAAAAAATAACGCGGGCACAGGGGCACACCAGAAACGAGACCCTCCCATTCAACTCCCCAAATCTGGATCAACATACTCGCAATCGCCAAATGGTCCAGACGAGGAAACCGGACGGGGCTCAGGGCTGCCCACAACCGTGTCTAGGGATAAACATCGCAGTACAGTACATCGAAAAAACTTCCATCGCCGCAGTTCCTTGGCAAGTTGTGTCCATTAAAGCAATGACTCACAAATGGTTGACGGTTTTTTTTCTGCTCCACAGTCTACTGCAGCAAGATCGAAGAAACAAGCTTCAGACGTTGCCTAGTTCCTTCCCATTTGCCAACAGGCACCCTTTTGTTCCAGTTCACTGTTCACATTGCCCCATGAAGGAGCTGGCATGAGGTCGAGAGACTCTGGATTACAGGGCGTTTTCCCCTGTCTAGCCTGTTTTTCAGACTCAGTTTCGGCCGCCACACTGCTAAAACAGCATTCGACGCATTTATCGCCCTGGTACAACTAAAATCCCCCCCTTCATATAAAACAATCGGAGTTGACCTGTCCCTATAAAAATCAAGAATTGGTCCAATATCAGCCTTTAAAAGGCTCATGACTAAATTGTATGCAATCCATCAACTTCAGCATTTATAGCTAATAGGTCAATTATCAAGTTATATATGCGCATATATGGTATGCTAGGTCCACGCACAAGGTCCACCCAGAACCTAAGAACTTGATTACAAGGGGATATTTCTTTGGCATGCACACCCTCGCATACCGATCACCGCACCAGCCATGTTAGAGGATATGACGCCCACTACTGCACATCATCGTCGTCGCCGACGTCAGCAATGCGAACTTGGCCGATCGAGATGGAGCACCAGTTGAAGGCTGGAAAGTGCAGCGCCTTCGTGAGGAAGTCCAATGGTTGCTCGGAGATTGGGATGTATTCCAGCACAAGCTTCTTGCGTATCATCATCTGCTGCAGCCAAGCGTAATGTCACTCCATTTGCTTAAGGTTACTATTCAGCCCCAAGCCCTCAACGACCGCGATGATGGATTGATTGCCCACGTTCAGAGCAGTTGACATCCCACCGTTGTGGAGCTGGTGTCAGAATATTATGCTCTAGCCTGTAGTGGGGTGCTCTGTAGCGAGTACAACCCTTCTAGGGTTTGCTATTTGTATCCCCATTCTTGCTAGTGCAACCCTCCTCTTTCGCCTAAACTCTCTTGCCTAGCTAGGACTCTCCTAGCTATGGCTCCTAAGACTACCGCTTATCTTGACATGGTATCAGAGCTTAACGTTCGTGGCCTGTGGGCCCACTTCACTGCTTCCGCTGCTACTGCTACTCCCTGTCCGCCGCGCGCCCCGTGGTGCGCGGCGTCGAAACTAGGGTTTTCAGCCCGCCGTGCGCCCCGAGGCGCGCGGCGGTTCTCTGCCCGCCGTGTGCCCCGAGGCGCGCGGCGGGTTTCTGCCCCGTCACTCGGCGCGTCGCCCCCGGGAGGCGCTGCGACGGGCGACGGGGACCCGCGCGTCGCCCCCCGTCGCCCGTCGTGGCCTGCGCGCGGCCCGTACGGGCTGCGCCAGGCCCGCGCGCGGCCCGTACGGGCTGCGCCAGGCCCGCGCGCGGCTCGGACCGCCTGCGCGCGGTTCGGGAGGCTGTGCCAGGCCCGTGGGCGGCCCGTTCTTCGCTGCCCCTGTCCTCCCCGCTGTCCCCCGTGCTTCTGAAGGCGCCCCACCCCTCCTTCTGCCCGTTCTCCTGGATTAGGGTTTGGGGTTGGGGGGTATGGGGGTGCAGCTTCTGTGTGCCGTTCCCTGCTCCTCCTCCTCCTCCGTCTCCCTGTGCTGCAGCTGCCGCTGAGGGGGGTGGACCTGTTGGAGCCGTCGGAGTGGTACTAAGGGGGGGTGAAGGGGGAGTGGAGCTAGCGGTGTAGCAGCGGGTGTGTGTCGAAGGGTGTGGGACTGTTGGGGGAGGTTGAGGGGAGGTTGCCGTCGTGTCGTACGCAGCGCCTGTACTCCGGGGCACTCACTCCCGGTAGCTCAGAGAGCCGGTTGCGCCGTCGCCTGTGGGTCCGTTGCTCCTGCTGCTCGTCTTAGCCGCGGAGCCTGTTACTCCTGTACTCCGGGGCACTCACTCCCGGTAGCCACTGTGTCGCACCAGAGCCGTCTGTTGCCCGTGTGCCTGCAGCTTCAGTCGTCGCCTCCCATCTACTCTCCTCTCGCCAGCCCTCCTCCTCCTCACTTGCCCGTTGTGACTACCACTAGCTTTGCTCATAATTGTGAACTTTAAACTATTGCTTCTTAAACTTGTGCTCAGAATGTGTGGTGACATTGTGATCCACCCTGAGCTTGTACTACTTTGCTTGCTCTGCTGATTACACCCCACTTTGGCTATGGGGGTGTGTCAGAATATTATGCTCTAGCCTGTAGTGGGGTGCTCTGTAGCGAGTACAACCCTTCTAGGGTTTGCTATTTGTATCCCCATTCTTGCTAGTGCAACCCTCCTCTTTCGCCTAAACTCTCTTGCCTAGCTAGGACTCTCCTAGCTATGGCTCCTAAGACTACCGCTTATCTTGACAGCTGGATCTCGGCGAGGAAGAATCAAAGTTGACGGGCCACCTTGCTGGCTTCAGTGGCCATCCGTATATGACAGAGTCACACACTTGATGCGCGAGCCAGCGCACCGCTGAAGGTGAAAACGTAGCCGTTTGTGCTGTCACGTGTCTGTTTGTAGTCGGCGTCATCCGCGTCCGCGTAGCCGACCAGTTTCAGAGTTTCCGGCCCGCCGGCGAACTCCAGTCCAATATTGTGCATGACGGCAAGATAGGTAAGGTAGTGATCGACTTCGCGCCAGTGCTGGTCGCTCCTCACCGTCAAACCATACCCTAGCTTGTTGCACGCAAAAGCGATGTCGGGACGAGTTGTCGTGGCGGCGAACTACAACGAACTAACCTTCTGACGACACTCATCCTCGTCGCGCGACTTAAAGTTCTCGTCATCAAAGGTCAGTTCGGCGTAGGCGTCGACGGAAACAGGAGTCGTCGGACGCCGACCAGTCTGCTCCTCATGGATGAAACGTCTATGCAGCTTGTCGACGTAGGACCGCTGGTGCAGCCACAGCTTTCGCGCCGGCGGTCACGCATGATTTCGAGCCCCAAATATTTCTCGACCGGGCTTATCTCACGCAGCTCAAAGGTGGCCTCCAGCAACTCCTCCAACTCTTTCAGTATCACGGTGCTGAAGCTGGCGGCGAGCAGGCCGTCACAGTGGATAAGCACCCAGCACGCCAATCCGTCGTCGCCAAATCTGGAATAAAGAGCCTCGCTGACCTGGCTCTTTCTCCAGCCAGGTCCAACTCCGCCAATTAGCAGCAAATGCTTAGTCGTGTCTCTACCATTGATTGCATTCACTAGTACATAGAATAGCAAGCTCGGTGATCTGTCAATATAGCACATGAGTTTGTTATTGAATGTTATACTAACATATGGATCTATATATTCGTAACAAGGACACAACCGCTAGTAATAGTTGTTGGCATCACCGAGATAAATTCATAAATGTTGGGCAAAGCATGTCCCACCAAACAAAACTCAGCTCGTGCTTTGTGAGACTACTCTACTTTAACATATGGACACATATCCAGCGAAGTTGCTGTCATATGACAACTAGCAATTTTATGACGTATTCCATGCCCGTCTGGTGTAACAACTTGCCATGTCATTGTCAAATATGGTGATCATGCCACGTGCACAACCTGTAGAAGAAAATGTGATTAAGCCATGAAAACCATTTATTTATTATGTTCAGATTAACGATAATAGGCCACCAACTTGATCTATTGGGTC